CTCCAATTTACGACTTATTAAGTCAATTTCTATTCAAATTTGTTCATTTGACAAACACTGTATTTACAGAGTGACATTACAAGAAGAAAAGAGAGAAAGCAAAACTGATTATGTAGTAAAACGATTTTCAATTTATTCTTCTTATTCATGCTTATATTGTATAATTCAAAGACAACACCTCCAAAATGTGCATCAAAGGCTTTATGTCTTTATGCCTACACAGCACACACAACCTCCACATCACAGTCCGTCCCCTTGCAAGATTACAAAGGCAGTCATCGCCACAATTTCATATTTTCAACAGTATCTTTGAGTGTAGCACTCTAGCCCCGGGTTCCTTCAAATACTTCATACATGGCAATAAAGACGACTCCAATGAACATTTCTTAGTATGGCTTCATTTAATTCGTATATTATTATTAATGTTAATTTTGGCAAAATGCATAATGATTAACTTTCATTTCTCTTTGTTCCCAAGTCCAATTGGAATTGAAGACTAGGACAATGTGATCAATATATTTCAAGTCGACGAAGGAATAAGGTATATAACAAGCAACCATAGCATTAACAAGCAACCATAGCTGGATCTTCAATTTTTGACACTGCCATAACAAGTAGTCAAGCAATACAATGTCATCTTCACTACACTAGTAAAAATTTACTTCAAGATATGCACATTATCTAAAAGACTTACAGTTCTCAGACAGAATATAAAAATAATTTTTTTTTTTTTTAAAAAAAAAAAAAAAAAACTTATAGAAGCTAGAACAATAGTTTGGCATCAAGCTAAGTATTCAAATATAATGTTCCCATGAAGGGAGAATGTAATTTTTACATACAGTTCACTCAATTTCAATGTCAATATACAAGAGACAACATAATTCCTCTACAATGACTATTGTCCGCGAATCCCTACAAAATTTCTCTAGTACATTCACAGAACAAGCAAAAACACAATACATACACTTATGCTTGTCCATAGAACATCAAAAACTCCCTTGCGCAAAATCCCAGAGGAGCTGTAGTCAATCATGATCGGAAACTGACAGCTTCTGTCTGATGGATCTCGATCAGTGATCATAGCCAGGCCATCAAAATCACAGTCCCAGATATTCTGACCCTTAATCTGATAATACATGTTGAAAGCATAGGAAGCATTCCCTTGGACTGACAGATGGTTGCATGAACATCCATAGCCTAAGGATGTACAGTCTGACAAACTACAAGCATAGTTTATGTTCTCAGGCAAGTCCCCAAAGTTTGTAGCATCAGAGTTCAAAACACACCATCTTTTCTCCATATATACCACTCCTTCCACTGGGATTAGTGTCCTATCTTCTTGCATACCGGCTAAATCGAGTTCATACTTTGGCATTCCATCAAACTCGAAAAGACCCCAATGCCTCTCAAAGTTTCCTGGTGCAATGCTCTTGGCATTCTCATCGATCAAACTGAACAGGTAGACATCGATTTTGCCCTTTCGAAGTGGAGTCCCTTCCCCACACATAATATGTTGAAGAAGGCCTTGATTGAACCTCTTAGCATTCTCAGCATTGGCATGTATATCACCATCAGTTGGCCAACCTACCTCTCCTACTATAACTTCCATATCAGGATACCCAGCTTTGTTCAATGCTGACAATAAAGTATCAAAATTCGCGTCAAACACATTGGTGTATTTCAAACCCTGATCTCTTATAGGCACATTTGACCCTTCAAAGAAAGCATAATCTATAGGAAAGTTCTTGTTTCCATACAGACTAAGAAAAGGGTAAATGTTGACAGTAAAAGGAGCACTGTTTTCATGTAAGAACTGCAGGATTTGAAGGGTAAGGTCTCGAACTTCAGGCCTGAAATCTCCAGCAGAGGGCACAGGATCCGACTCAGGAGAGTAGTATACATCAGCATTGAAAGGAATCGTCGCCTTGATTTGATCACCGTGTCCTGCCCGATTAAGGGCCTCTTGGATGTTCCTGAGTGCTGGTAACATGTACTTCAGGTATGTGCCATTATAGGTCTGTAGTGTTGGCTCATTGCCTACTGCAACATAGCTGAACAACAAAAAGGTTAATCAAAGAACATTGTGAGATCAAAATCAAAGCAATAAAAGTAACTTTCAACACTTTAAATCTTTATCAATTAATCCTTCACAAATATCACAGAACAGTCAACATCATGAGTAAAAAAAACCCATCAAACTCCTAATTCATCAAGAAAAATTCATGAAAATTCCATAATGAAAAAACCCATGAAAAATTCAGTACTTTACAAGATTAAGAACTTAAAAGAAGCAAAATATCAAACAGTTGGTGTGTATTAGAAAAGGTAAGAGACTAAACTTGATATTTACACCACCAGAATAGAAGTAAGAGGTAACATTAGCATCAACCCAAGAAACAGCAGCATCTGGATCACTACTCATCTCCTCCAACATATTATTAGGAATTGCTAACATTACTTCAATTTCAGTACCAATTAAAGCATTCAAAATATTATCATCAGCTTCAAACAACTTCAATCTATCAAACCCATTATTTTTCAGCATCTGAACCACCATATCAGCAGGTAACTGATGAGTTGCCATGGTACCCCAGTTCACCCCAACACTTAAACCCTGAGAAAATACAGCCGCCATTACTAAAAACAGAGTAGAACAGTACAAAAATGCCATTTTTTAGGGTTCTTTCTAAAATTGTGATGAATCTTGAAATGGGTATCTTTGAATTGAATACCCTTTTCAAAGTTGTGAAATGGGTAGGTGAGATTTTGGGAGAAAAGGGATGTTTTTGATGATGGGTATGGTAGAAGAGGAGAGAGAAAGAGAGAGATTCGTTCCTTAGTTCTGTTATTCAGTTACAGGGCCATGCAAATGGAAGTTATAGTGCTGTGATTGCTGTCATTCCCATCTTTATCACATTCTTTTGATTTTGCTGAGGCAATTTGACATTAAATAGTAATAGTATGTACTCTCATTTTAGATGTTTTCATACTATACTATAGTTTTCATATAAGTAGTGATCATTCATTAGAGTCATTACTTTACCAACACTATGAAGTGAAAATGACATCTTAGAGAAATTGGTTTAGAACTAAAAGACTCACTTTCTTTAGTCAAATTGAATGGATAAGCACTACAAAGTAGAGTTAAAGATTTGGGAGATTAAAATTTTGTGTCGTTCATGCACGGTACTTAATGGCAAATTTGAGTATTGACTAATGTAAGAAACTTAGTCGAAAAGTTATTGGTAATTAGAAATTCCCCAATGGTTTAGTAAGTCGAGTTATATGGAGTAGTCATTTTTAATTACCCTAAGGATCATATTGATCAAATCACAACTTTTTTAAAAAAATTAATCAATTTTTTACCCCACTCATTTGAAAAATGACTACCATATTATTTATTTTAATGATATATAATATGATCCGCTCATTTTTTTCACGTCATAAAATGGCCACAATTAGTCTTATAATATCTACAATGTAAATATAAATTTTGGAAATTTTAATCCAACATAAAATAAATATTTTTTGATAAACTATAAAATAAGAATAAAAATTACATAAATGAAACTAAAAATTTAATAAATCAAAAAAATGTTGATAATTATATTTAATACCATTAATAAAATAATATAATTAATTAATTGAAAAAATGTGTCAATTATGAACTATATAATCATTAAAATATTATAGTAGTCATATTTCAAATGACTAATGTAAAATTTTCAAAATATAAAAGAAATTGTCCTATTTTAAAAGATAAACATAAAGCAATGGACATTTCATGAGTGAGTATCATGACTCTACACAAAGTTGTTACATCACTTCACTTTTGATCTCAATCTAAAGCAAATGACATTCATATGTATATACCATGCTTCCTATATTTTATATATTATTCTAAATGGATGAACAATCCAATAATGTGCTAAGGATGCATTAACCTATATGGAAAACCAGGCCATGTTAGAAAAATAATTTCACATGGAATTCTCATTCCATCTATACTTCATATCATATACTACGCATGTTTTTATGATCTTGTTTGATCCATCAAACATACACCAACTTCAAATATTGTAATTAACTCCTCTCTTTCAAGTAGTATAATAAAACTTTAAAGTTTAAAATTCATTATAAGAAGTAACATAACTTCCCTAATAGCAAACTTTTTGGTAAGGTGAGAGTTGGGATAAGATCAAGAACATAACTAACACTAAAAATTATCATGAATAGTGCTTAAGATTTGTTTTTAAAATGAAAGTTTTGAAGCAAATCCTTCAATGGCCCCCAAGAATATAGGGTATATCCAGACAAGATTAGCCACCCTAAAAAGCTCAAGCTCAACATGCATCAGCAAGTAAGCATATTTTTGACTCAACTTTTGCTTAAAAGTTCCACGAAAATATTGTCTGAAATTCCAACTTTCCAGCCTCAGTCTACGTGTTGCTCATGCCCATGCAAAATCCCCTCTCTTTTTTTAAAAAAAATAAATTTTGTTTACATTTTTAGTTAATAAAATTTAAAGAAAATAAACATATACAGTTATTTATGTATGCTTTTTGTTGTAAAAGTTTCACTTTTTTTTTTTTTTCCTTTTTCTTTTTCTTCACCATCTTTTTTATCTTCAGTAAAGAGAAATTGGTATTGGCCCATGGTGCTATTCCAGTTTGGAAGGAAATATTTTAAGAACTTCTTGTCTCCCATTCTACTGCACATGCATTTTTGCAAACAATAACATTATCCTGAAGAAAATATTGCAATTGGCTCTTACTTTAATTTTTAACTCTCAATCTAAAATGATGCAAGTTCAAGATATTATAGCAAAAGAATCATATTACAATTATAATCATATAAAAAAGGTTAATATAATGTTCTAGCATATACAGACTACGATTTACTCCATAGTATTTCTAATACTACATACAGTACATAATAATATTTCATAGTAGTATTGCTAGCTTTCTTTCAATTTTCAATAACTTGTGCGAATATAGTCGTATGATATCGTTAAGCATGACTAAAATTTAACAATAATATTTGCTATCTATGTGTCAAAAACAACTCCTAAATGAGTGTTGGTAAAGATCTTCAAAAGGCAAAAAAACCTGGATTAACCAAGATAAAAACTCTCTTACACCTAATTCTGTTAACACAAAAATTCCAAGGATACATAGATAAATAAGACCATGTTGAACCGAGTTCAGGATACAATAGCTTCTTCATCAAGGCATGCTTCCTCGGGGAGTCTGAAGCTTAAGCAAAACATAGCCTGTAGAAGAAACAAGTCGGAAAATCCATAAATAAAGGGTGCCTGGAAAAGTTGACATATAACAATAGTAAAATGATGGTAAAAGTGTAAAACAAATTATTTCACCTTGTTTGGTGCAACATCTCTAACCCTGTGGAACACAGGATCATGTATCTTAGCATTTAACCTAGACTCAGCCACCTGCAAAGTAATTTAAATGTGCTTAGTTTGTTCATTTACTTATTGATCAACACGAAAAATGTAAAATCTGGAAGCATGACAAAAATGGGCAAGTAAAATGCTGAGAACTACATAAATATAATTTAGGAAAATGATAATAACTTAGATAATTTAAATTACAAGAAGTGTATACAGAGCATGACTTACTGAAATTATAAATTCTTCAGTTTCACTTGACCGGATGAAGCAGTAACAGTGAATCCAAGGTAGAAGTCCCTTCCAATATTTCCGGCATATTAGACCTTTAAACGCGTCTGAAAAGAAAGAGATTGCGTGACGGCAAAATCAACAACTTTTTCTAATTCTTTATTATTGACCAAATTACATGTACTCATAACTCTTTTTTACTTCATTCTTTTGATCTTTTGATGAGGACTAGGGTACGCATACTATCTAATTTTGTGGATTAGATAGCCTTTTTTGGGATTTTTCGCAAAACAGAAGCTCAGTCATTGAGTTCAAAGATAAAAGCACCAAAACAGCAACTAGTAGAAATGCTCTTTTCTTAACATAACATGGTTCTCCACTCAAACATGCAAACTGACAACACAAGAGCATGAATTAAAGCTTGGTTCCAGCAGAAAACTCAATGTATAAGCAAAAGAAATCAAAGGTATAAAAATTAAGAACAGAGGAACTGGCCAATTTCCATTGGATGTTTCCAAAGGCAGTCATCATTTTCCAATGTAATGTCTCATCGGAAGGCAATGGACAAGCATATTGTAACAAGATTCTCCGTAACATAGCAAGAATTTAAATTTGTATCAACTTTGAGAAGTGAGAAATTAATGCATTATTTCAGGTAAGAATAGTATTACCTAGGAACTCCAAAGCAGAAGCGGGTAAATTCATGACCACGTGGTCAACATGCTCCCATGGCTTCACAGAGGGTACAGGACCGCTCATCCTCTTATTAGTACCACGTTTTGTGCTGAGAGAACCAGGAGTTTCTGCAGTTTAACAGGAAGGAAGAAGATCAGCTATACATATTTTCACATAGTATAGTTGAATGTGCGCGGCAATAAGGTCATAATACCATATCATTAAATCTATAATACCTTTTTGACAACATTCTGCAGACCTTTTGGCAGGACTGACTAGTGGATCAATCTTCTCACTACTGCCTCCTGCATAATCCGGAAAAATGTAAATTTTTCTATAACTATTTAGCCTTATGTGCAAGTGGCAGAAGAAAATCTCAGCCGCATTCGTAAAGATGAACAATACTTCTCAAATATTACCCTCTATATTCCTACTTTCTGCTTCACTTTTAGACTCTCTGCTGCAATCATCAGAAGCATTTGGAAGAACAGTCATTAATTGAGACATGAATTTTCTCGCATCCATATAGTATGTGAAGATGCAATCATTGACCTTGTTGATTTCTGCATTTATTTTCAAGAACCGGATACTATCTGGATTTAAATCATTTGCATAAATCAAGCACCCCTTTTGTGCTGCTGGGATAGCAAATGGGCCAATACCGGCAAACATATCACAAATGGTCTCTCCAGCTTGGAACAGAGAGACTAGTCTCATATGTTCATGTTCTAATCTTGAGTTCCAATAGACCAAGCTGTAATCAAGCTTGAATTTCGCCTTATATTGCTTCACCTCTGTAACCATATCATTGTCACCAGCAAGGATTTCAAACTTTGGAACTCGAAACTCATTTGTAATTGTGCCAACTTTATTGACCACAGTTTTGATTCTAGGGTAATTTTTCTGTAGATAACAAAATAATAAAATTGTGTGATGACTGATGAGAAACCAATTGACAGCCTAGCTAGAAATAATAAACCAAAATATTGGAGAAGCTCTGGTTTTTCTTTTCCAGAAAATGATCTCATTAAGAATAGGCAATTACAGCGAGGACACCATAATATGAAAATACCCCAAAAGAATGTCAAGTATAAATACACATACATCATAGATGACCTCTGCGATAACATCCTTGTATGGAAGTAGTTCATCAGTGATATTTAGATGTGCAATATGACCTGCATAATGATAACAAAAAGAATGTCAATGCACAAATCATTAGCTCATGGAAAGAGCCAAGAAGTTTTCAGCAACACTAATTCCAAATGATCCAATACAATCTCATTCAAGAGCTGTTAGTTATTCCCAAAATAATCGTCCTCCAACATTTTTCAATGCTGAATTAGTGATACTTTTCATCAATGCTGAAATGGTGATGCTTTTCATATGAAAACGTTAATGTAAGGTAGTGCCATCAGAAAGCATGTATTTGATGGTCACTTTGTGAGAGTTATTACTTTAGAAATTTAACTTTCAAACACTCCCTCTAATCTGGAATTAATGTTACTTTCAGCGTCACTTTACACTTTTGGCGCTGCAGTTGAATACTATTCCTATTGAACCCTAATGTAAAACCAACACCATCACTAAATACAGGTATTTATCAATGGTATCTGGGTCTAAGAGTTCTTATGCAAAAGAACTAGAATGAAAATGAACCAATTGAGTACATAGCTACAAATAATTGAACATAGCTAGATATACAGGCATTTAATGATGGTATATGGGTGTTAGAGTTCTTATATCTATGCAAAAGACTAACACTATGTTTGGATTAAAGGAAATGGAGAGAAAGGAAGGGAAGAGAAATGGAGGGATGGAGTATTCTTCATTTGGATAACAAATGAGAAATGAAGGGAATTGAAGGGGAGAGAAATGAAAGGATTAATTTGTGAGAAATTGATCTCTCCAACAATGGAGAGATTTGGAAGGAAAACTCATCATTTTCCCCTTCCCTTCTTTTCTCTTCCCTCCCCTTCATCACCCTCCCCTTCTTTTCCCTCCCACTTAGTTATCCAAACAAAGCCTCAAAGTCTAAACTTCATATTTTACCCTATTGTAAACTCAAACATAATCGATTAAAATCATTGCAGGTAGTTAATGTCTTAATGATGATATTTCGGCATCTGGATCAAGTTTTAAAAGTTGTTAATTTGTACTTTTTGAGAAAGAAGACTAAATCGCAATTACATTGGATATGAGGAAGGTGGTCATTTACTCATGACAAGGACAGTTATCGACAATCATAATTATAACTTAAAGCTAAGAACCTGGCATGATGTTTGATGACGGTTGGCATTTGCCTACAAATTCAGTTTTCTTTTACTTTTGATTAAGCACATCAGTAGTAAGATAGTCCAATGAGCCAAAGAAGCAAACGGAATGTCCTAAAGATAACTGGAACAGAATAAATACTTAACTATAGTCTCAAATGATGATGGCACCTCAAGTCCTGCAGGTAGAATCTGCTTCAATATATGATCTGCAAGTGAATAACAGATCAATCAGCAAAGTGATTACTGTAACAATACAAAAGCAAATGCCATCAGCTTGCATCTAACTTTCACAAAAACTAACACAAAAGAAGCATTTAGCTATTTACCATAGCACTGTGCACACTAAAACAATACTTCCACAGCACTGTTGAGTTCTATCCAAGTAAGTCATAATCAGGAGAAAAAAAAAAGGCATGTCAGACTTCTCAATAATTTATAAAGCCGATTCTGAACTTCAGCAAGAGTTTGATCCCATGCATTGCACCAATCACGACTTGTGTTTATAGATTGTATTAAAAATCTAAAGGTTCTGATGCAAGTATAAAGCCAATGGTTAAACAACTCAGATTATAGTCCTTTGTTTCGACTTGACTCTATTCTTTATTGTCACTGGATGACAGCTATTTGACCCTTATGTTTACCAAGTTATTTGACTTGGTTATCCTACAATATCCATTTCGATCAATTTTCTCTCATGTAATAGGTAATTTATAACATTTTCAAGTAAAACCCTTCTATATATCAAATGAGCAATCAGGGAAATTAGGATAGCATATTAAGACAAATCCTACAATCAAGACATACTTCAACTTACTTAAAAAAACTTCTCCTAAGCACAATGAGATTTGCACAAAGCTGCAGCAATATAGAAGGCACAGGAAACAACTATGCACCCAGACAAACTATTGATGCTTGATGAGTATCAAATTCCTCAGTGAAAGAGCAAAATGAAAAGTATTAGATAGAGAACAGTGCTTGTTTCATACTCAGAGAGCATGCAACTTACCTGCACCCCAGTAGGAATAGCCAAGGGTCAATGAATAAGGAACTACTTCTATCTCACAAAGCTTCCGGAGTTCATCAAGTTTCTGCTCGGGGATATCAGACAAATCTGTCCAGCAAACAATATTCATCCATGAGAGCAGTCTATGAAGGCGAAAGGTGCAAATGTCACCAAGTGTACAGAAACATCAAAACAATCACTATGTTAATCTGATTAGGAAGAATGGAGAATAATCCTAAAGATAAGAAAGCATTATCCCAAATCTGCTAATTTTAGCCAAACGATCATTCAACAAAAATCAAAGAAGTCTCTCAAGGACAACAGGAAATGTCTACGGTCATCTGCTTCTAGTTTGTTTGTGAAGTAGGTCAATAATTTGCCTTTCAGACTAATAGTGTTATGAAAAAGCGTTCTCATGAACGAAAATATAAGGCTAAAGGTGCCTCTCCTCAACTCTAACAGGTAAGACTTAGATTTTTTTCATTTAACTATTTCTCCCCACTGGACAGCTTGTAAAAGGCCAAAATAAACTTGAAACCAAGGAAGTATATATGTTCAAGATGGCTTCTTTACTAGATGGAATGAGCATTAGTTTGATTGACTTCAAGGTAAAGCAATACTTATAACTGAAAATAAACACGTCTGGACAAATAAGGAAGTTAAATCATCCCTTTACAACCATCAAACATTAGGCACTGCCAAGTGCTGGAGAAGCAACTTGTAGTTTTGAGAAAGAATAAACATAGTATGAATCAACAAAAATAATAACACAGAATAACTAGAAAACAATTGTGGCTAAATTCTATCTGAAAGCCAGTTATTGACTTCCAAAAATAGGGAAAAATTCGTAGCACTTTGGCTACACAAAAAAATGTACTTGCATTTAAAACACATCACCTTTACTCTGTATTTTCTCGGACAATATCATGTAACGATTTTTTTGGGTTGTTGGATCTTCAGCTACCGGCTTCACACGAGGCCTATCCAGCAAGTATCTACATACATAAAAAACATTCAGCCACAGAAAAAGCGAGCACTGAAATAAAGTACTATGTTAAGCTAAATGAACGGATGCTCTATCTCTTATAAAATATGCAAGACAAAGTACGTAAGAAATAGTTACAGAAGGAAGAATAGACTTCTGATAAATTGACAAAACATAAAAACATCATTGGCACATACCCATCAAGTAGCCGAGTGGCGGTTTTGCAGATTTCACGAGGGACTCTGAGCGCCCAAAGATCAAACTTCACATCAAAACTACTTTTATCCAGCATCTCTACTTTCTCTGCTTCAACCACAAATCCAGCAATAAATTCCACAATTACATCTTTTCAATAAAGCATCAATTTAAAAAGCTTCCAATCAGATTGGATAAACAAATGAATTCCAGAAAACCCATGAATATTCATTCAAAATTTTCCAACCCCATTGAGGACTTTCATCGAACAGTTAGTGTGCATGGAAATATACATACTCATTTGAACAATACGCCCTTAAATCTAGCAATTGAAATACCAACTTGTACATTATAATTAAAAATACAGAGTATAATATACGAAACTGAACCAAATTAGCTCAAAAAAAAATTGGAAAGCATAAATCGGAATAATTGGTACAAAGTTAACATTTTTTTTACCAAAAAAAATATGAAAATCTAAAATTATTCACAACATATGCTATGGAAAAGAGAAGAGAGAGAAAACTTATGCACAAACCCAGAAGTTGCAAGAGTTGAGATGAAGAAAATCTGGAGATTTTGCTGGTTTTCCGATTGAATTTAGGGGTTAACGCATTCGTTTAGTGGCAGTTGGAGCTGCTTTTCTTTCTCAGAAGTTACCCGCTAAAATTCTTGAACATAATTTGCAATTTAACCCCTTATAAAATTAACCGTGTCAATATGTGACGTGTTTCTAAATTAAATAATTTTCGGCAAAATTTTATAGCAATTTTAAAGGTGAGTTTTCTGCAATTTATTTTAAGTATAATGTACATGTGTTAATGAACGGGATATATATTTTTTGCGACGAAAAATAATCTTAAATTTGGAGTTTGGAAAATTGTGTTTAAAAGTTCTCAAATTGTTAAATACTCGTAGATAGCTTCGAACAAAACTAAGTTTTTTTCGGTAAATTAGATGTTAAAAGCATCCATGATGTTAATAAGTCTTTACCTTAGAGGCTTAGATCAATACTGAAAGACTTGTGTGCAAATTTAGTACATAACTTACCGTAACTTCACCTTACACTCGTATAGCTAATTTGTCGAGTGTTAGGTGAAGTTAATCCCGTCAAAATTTGCAGTTTACCCCATTGTCTTAGAATTTAACCATATCATGTGTCCCAATTTAAATAAGTTTCGGTAAAATTATAGGGAGTTTTTTAAGAATGGATTTTTTATAAATTATTTAAATTAGAATGTATATGTGCTAATGTACGGGATATATATCGTCTTTTGCGATGTAAAACATTCTTAGATATTGAGTTTGGAAAATTGTGCTTAAAAATTAACAAAATGACTCATATAGTACAATCAAATTTATTTTTTTTGTTAATTCGCTTATATGGGAGTGTTGAACAAGTGAAGAAAAAAAGTGTGTGTTGATTAAAACACAGTATATTTGTAAAATAATATTTTTCCCAAGTTTAGATTGAAATCGAGCTAGATACTTCTAAAAACTTTGATAATGGCACTTATGTTCACACAGTTTCATTCTACTCATTTTAGATTAATACTCCGTAATGAAATACTTGCGTGCAACATTAGTACGTAGCTACCTATTGAGATAGGAATGAATATTGTGATATGAATAATACTACCTTACAGAAATTTACCGTAACTTCACCTAATACTTTGTGTAACCTATTTGTCGATGTTGTTTCCAAGTCCTATTTGTCGATGTTGATTCCAAGTTTTTGTGGATATGTATAACAAATGGGGATTATGGGAGGAAGAAAAGTTACAAACTTGTAAATGAGGTAGAGAGTTTGCAAGAAGTTAAATGGAAAATTATTGGTCCTAAATTTATAGGACTTAGATTGAAAAAACACACTGTGAGTCTATGAGAAAGATCACTGATGTATATACAAGTAATACAACTGCATTTTACAATCAAGTTTACTCCTGATTTCAAAAGCTTGGCACCAAAATATTACATGATTTGTTTCAAATACAATGTTCGAATTTAATTGACTCAAAAATCAATATACTGGTGTAAAGAGTCTAAAATCGAAGAGTTTAATCATGTAATTTTTTATTGAAGGGTGGTTCAACTGACGAACCCAACATTACCTGTTACTTCGTACTTCTAGTCCAATGTTTCATTTCATGACATTGTGTTCATCAATAAAAAGTGAGTACATCATTCATCATGAAAACTAGTCTAATTCATCTAATTAAATTTCTGCCCTTAAACTTGCATTTACCAACAAGGGCAGCAAGCACTGTAAAATTAAGACACAGTTTATGGCTTATATTTACACCACCACCAACCCGGAGTCTTAATTAATCCCAATGATAGGGTTGGCTACATAAACTAAGATTTCATCGTCGTGGAAAACTAATTTTTCCCATTATGTTGTCTTTCTGATGTGCTGAAGAGTTCTAAATTTCTGAATCATCTGATTAATCTCCAACTTAAAGATAGCCTTGGAAAAGTCTTGTACATCCCTGAACTCCTGAAAAGGTATCATGATCTTCTAATGTAAAACTCTTAATACAAATTTAACAGTCTGAAACTCTGAATCAATAATCTGAAACTCTGTGATCATGCCAACAAAGAAGCATAGTAACACAACGCCGTAAAATATACACCCTTGTCTTCTGCTGCTTGACAATCGATAAACACCGCCTTCTGAAGCTGGTTTTCCGGTGGCGTTGGCCTCGGGATAATGATCTTTGTGTGGGAAGGAGGTAGGAAAATGTCATGGTGACTGCAGAGAAAGAAAGAAAGAACAGAGGAAGGTGTGTTAAAATTTTGGTTGAGAAATAATAATAGAGTTGAATGAATCAAGCATAAAATCAGAATCATATATTTATACAAAATCTTTTGTTGACACTTGACAAGTTGATATTGTGGTCCTTAAATAAATAAATTATTAAATTACAATTACATCAACGTGATATAATGCTTGCTATTGTTACATGAATTACATCAGTTACATTATGTACTAACAAAAGGGTGTGTAAATGAAGAGTCGTGTAAGACAGCAATCATAAAAGTTCTCAACTGATTTTGACACTTTTTTATTAACTGTATGCTCGTATGATCGTATCACACCTCTTTCCACGTCTCATCCACGTAATCCAATTTGTTTTTGAGAGCACTCCATACATGTTTTTATTCGTCTTTTTGGAATAAGTGGTTTGCAAATCATTTTCGAGGTGGATCAAGTGTGATCCTAATCATCTCTCTATCGAGGTTTAAGTTAAATTTACTTTAATTCTACCTCGTTCAGTTCGTGACGGGTTGATGTTTCCTTTTAAAGAAACTCTCAAATACAAGTTTAAACATCTGAGATTTTCTAGTTAATTACATCTCCGTAACTAGTGAGAAAAATTTGCTAACCAACTAAAATCGGAATGTAAAAAGTTGAGTTACACAGGTAAAAGAGTTTTTTTTATATATTTTTTTTTTTTAATTTCCTACCAAACAATTACATACGTATTTTATTTGTATTTTAAAATTAAGGGAATTCTTTTTTTGTATTCTTCCACATCAACCACTCTAGGCATTAATTATGTCGGCTATCTAAAATTTGGCCTCAGTATAAAATATTGGCTCTGTAGAATAATTTATATAAAGGGGTTAAGGGTTATGATAAAATGGTCAAAAAGTAGGCAGAATATATGGAACGAGCCAAAATTGATGATGATTTTAACCCATTAAGCCGCCTGGTGCCTACTAGTCAACTTGAAGAAACTATATTCTAAAAATAAATCCACTGTATTTTTTGTTGGTATAAAGAGCCAGTTATTTGGTCCTACCTTACCTTATCCAACAATATAGCTAGTGCAATGTACATATGCTCAAAATCAAAGTATGTTCCAGGAAGAACACAATAATAGACTATTCACTGGTATATATGGAAGCAAATATCTAGAACATAATAAGAAACAAAGCACATACAGCTTGACTACTATAGTGCAGTAACAACCTAGCTAATGGCCAGCCAATTGTTATGATAGTGATACATTTATACAATTGATGTTCCCAACATCAACGCTGCCAATGGAACGTCTATGTCACACAGTCATTTATAGAGCTGGTCATGGGGCAGGGCGGATCACCTTAGGACCAAAGAGTTGGCACAGGCCCAGGTTGGAACAGGCCAGGCGCGATCAATCTAAGGGGATTATGACTGATTTGATCTTAAAAGGAATGTTTGGACCATAAAAGTGTCAGCCCAAACCCGACTTGAATGAGCCCAAGCTGGACTTGATCAGCAACGCTTTATAGGTAAGTTTATCAGTATCAATACCTAGTTAAGACTTCATATGAATTTGAAACTTTATATTCTCTAGATGATATTATAACAATAATGTCACGTTCAGCAGTTTGACATTTACATTATTAGTTAAACTATACTTGAAGGTTACACTATAAGAGTCATAAATCATGAGACCCTAAAGAGTGGAAGTTGAATAATGCCTAAAAGTATTTACCCCAGTGATCATCTGCTCGGATATGAGTAAGCAACTCATCACGTTTTAAGGTGGTAATACTTGTCCAAAAGCTTCTCCGTATACTCTCCGAATGTGAGGGTACTATTTGAAGGTATCAACTGGCAAAAAAAAAGCAGAGATTAAATTTCAGTTCAGAAATACATAGCATAATTATTACGGAGTACAATACAATGAGCAGAATAATAGTTCCACTTTCATATTGTTTATTACTATGCATAGTATCTGTAACACATAGTAGCATATTGATTGTTACTTTGTCATACTACAGAACCTTGAATTTTCTTTTGTACAATTAATGTAATCCATAATTGAGAGACATAATTTGAGATGGATTTTCGGACAAAGTAGATATGGAAGTAAATGCAATGCTATAGCCATTTACCCCATATATAGAAATACAATATCATTCAGGCATTCCCTCAATATATAACCTAGTACATAGGACCAAAAATCATAAACAAATGGACCCTGATATCCTTTCATGGAATTTTAAGATAAAAAACAGCTTAATGCAAGCACAATATGAAGCAACTCTTCCAATTTTACAAAGTAATGGCCCACAATACCAGAAAGCTAACCACGCTTAACTATACAGACATGACAAACTACCACAACAAAAAGAAGGATAAAACTTGAAAAAAGATTACCTCTTTGTGAATATGCATTTTCTCTGGAAACTTAAGATTTTCGCCCCTACAAAACCGGAATCATTAAACACAGATCAACAATGATTTCATTAATCAACAGGACGGAGCATTTCTTAGCTAATTAATGTCAAGTCTTCATGAAGCAAGCTTTTTCAGGGTCCAGTCAAAAGAAAAAGAACTTGTTTCACAGTTCTTGGCTTTAACGAGCTTGTTTCAAGGTTATTGACATAATAGGCTGTGACTACGAATTTGTTTTCTTCACTGTGACTGTGGGGTATATATTATTGAAGCTTGAACACATACAGATGATATTAACATAATCTCCCACTTAAAAGGATAGCATACCAGTCAGGTTGCATAAATAACGCAAAAGTTGACCGTTCAAGACCAGATACCCCCTTGCCACTTGGTGCCTGAAAATGAAAGTGATTTGCAAAGTTTATATGATCCCGCATAAAACAAAAAATAAATCTAAGCAACATAACAAAAAAGTGATTAGGAAACAAAGAATAGCATCACTTACCCGAACACAATGTGGCGTAGCATGAAGGTAGCCTCCTGATAGAATTTCAGTAGTTTCACCTATCTGATATGCAATTTCATCTTCTCCAAACACAACCTACAAATAGAGTGGTCAATGTCTCAATCTAAAGTAACTCTGACATCATGACACATCACTTAATGGTTCGAGAATCAATCATGACTTACATAGCTCATATCATTAATGCTAAGTGCAACTTTGAGAGACAGATGGTTAAATGTTGCTCATCTCATTACCTTTCTTTATATAAATTAGGTTTACTCTGAAATCTACATTACACTACAGAAAAATTAAACATTTCTCATAGACCTATTCATAACCAACATATTGGTGGTTACTGTTGTCTTTCTTGGTGGAAGTACTCTAAATTGAATCTGCACACAAAGCATCAAAAAAAAACTACAAGACAAATAAAATGACCAATTAAGTATTCTAAAATTTTTTTCATGGTTAATAAAGTGCCCCTTGTTTCATTATTTCAATACTGAAGTTATGTGCAATTGACAGTGACCGCAAAATAAAAATAAATTTATCCAATAAAAATAACAGGTTAGCTATTACAAGAGCATTATTATTATTATTATTTTGGTGAAGTAATGTCTGCATGAAATAGAAAGAGGAGAACCAAGAACAAAAAGGCTAACCTTGACTGTTTCATCATTCCTGGTCTTTACATAAAGACCAGCAGCTCTATCAGGACAAGCTACCTGAACTCCATCTTTCAAAAACATGCCACACGTAAGACCTACAAAATCAAACTTATGCATCTGAAAAAAAGAAATAAATAAGCAGAAATAATGAAAAGAAACAAGAGTCACAGTAGCCAACATTTTACAGGTGGTGCCACTACAATGCAGATAAATATGAGAAAAATTATAGATAACCCAGCAAAGTCAAAACCTATAAATGTCATGCAGTTGAAGGAGCAAGTTCCAAAAGCTTCTAAATGGGTGGATATCCTACATTTCTACAATAGGTAAAGGAGAAACAAAAACATAACCCAGCAGTACCAGCACTTATGTGGGAATTTATCATTTAAGATTTATCAAGTAAAAGTGTCTTGAGCAAATGAACCTCAAATCACCCTATGAGTCTATGACTTCTTATGCTTAGTAAGCCTCCATCACAAGCAATAGAGAAGTTTCAAGCCGCATCTTGATAAACCCTCTTCAAATTTCCACATGTTCACCGCAGTAGAAAAAAAATGTTAAGAAAATGGAGGACAAACCAATGTAATCAACAACAACGCTCATTATCTCAACTAAACAAGTTAAGTCTCTTACAAAAAGCATACTCCCCCATACCTATCTATTTAGATAATATAATGAGCTGGCAGGGCCAAACTTATATAAAAAATCTTAACATCTAAGGATGTAGCAGATAACATGGTATGGCACAAAAAGGAGACGTAAGAGACAGAGAGGTATATAAAGATAAGCCAATCCAGAAACAGTTTTGGGCATTCTAGAGCATAGTGTAAGTGTAAAAGTTCACTTGACAGAAAAAATTAGAAAAATGATCAATGTTTGATAATAGAGGTAATAACAGTCTATCAGATCTGTCAAGGAATTCCTAACCTGTAAGGGAACCATGGTCAGTATGCCATCCACACCAGGAAGACATCGAGTCGTCTTTCAAACGATCACTGTTGGGTGTATGCCCATTAGCAACAAGTAAATGGTCCCAAGATAAATAATCTCAAAACTAAACAAAATACAGAAATACTTCATGAAGAATTGCTACATTACTAATTTTCACATTCCAAAACTTGCCAAAAGACGTGCTAGTTGGTAAATTATCCTCACTTCTACACACACGATTGAAAATGACGGCAAGAGCGCGAGACAAAATGAAGTATGACACAAATACACAATCCAACTCTCTTACAAAATTTTGGAATATAGAAATCTGAGAGACACAGAACAACAAATGCACTCATTTTCTAATTAAAATGTGCCAAATGCTAAATTTGATAACAAGTTCGACTCCTTAGTTTTGAATATTCTAAGCAAACAAGTAGTAAGCACCTAACTCGCGGATAGTTCACATAAACTCTGAAAGCCTACTAATAATAACCGGAAGGCTAATGCAGACAAGGTTTCTCTATATCAGGACATCACGTTAATTCACCTCTCTTGTGTCGGAAAATAATAAAGAAGCCGGCCCTTATGACAGCGTGAACGATGAATTATTTGTTCAAGGCCTTCATCTTTTCCAACTTTCATGCCTTCAGATACTGCAAAATTTGCATAATAAAATGCAAACCATTAATGTCCGTACAACAAAACAAAAGATAATTCACAGATACATGATTTCCTAACACACAAAATCATTTAGCCTAAACTTGGGTTTATATATGAATATCAGACCTAATCTGTGGCTGAATGTAATGCATCAGACTTATGAAAAAGGTACATCAGGAATTGTTATTATATTTCAGTTAGAGGTAGCTTGAACAACAAGAAGAAGAAAACAAGTAACAGGAGGGAATTAGTTGGTCTATACTAGAGAGGATTACAGAGAGAGAGAGAGAAAGCATGGGAAAATATAATGGAGTGTTTCATTTTAATTTAGTTGTAATTGGGAGAGAATCTGATAAGGAAAGCCTCTCAAAAGCTAGAATATCATATACATCGTATTTCTTATTTCATCAATCAGATTCACTCTCTTCTTCCCTCAGTATTCTGTCAACAATTCTAGTTCGGCAGTTTGCAACTTGGTGTCAGAAGCACCGGCTATTCTGGGAAATTCAATTACATGAACAACTAAGTTAATAGCAAACTCCAAGTAGGAAACTGAAAGCCATATAAACTATCAAATAAACAAATACTCTCTTCATGTATTTTTACATGTTTCACTTTGATTTTGTGCAGTATTTATATATTCTACATTTCTACTTTATTTTTATTAATAATCTATTTAAAAAAATAAAAAATAAAAAAACACATGATATTAGATTATTCTCAATGTATATTTTCAATATATCAATTTTTATTAGACTTACAAATTGATTATAATAAAATATTAATTGTCAAAGTTGTGAATTGGCCAATGTGTAAAGTCAACGTAGGGGAAAAAACACTAGGGAGTTCTCAATGAAAAGAAATACTGCAGATGCTTTAAGCTAGATCGATATAACAGGTCAATTCGAGTCAAAGTCATCGAGTTAATGAATTGTACCATCTGAAAGAAACAGCAATATACAAAATAATGAGTAACAAATAGGAAGAAGGCAGAGAGAACAAATTCAACAAAATACGACGCTAGAATTGGAGATATTAAGAGGAGCAATTTAAATCCATACAGCTATGCATCAGAAAAATAGATCTGCAACTCTGCAAGACTAAAACCCATAAGAGATGAAGTATAAAGTAACAGACTCGGAGATTCTATAAGAATCGAAATGTTTATGTAGAATCTACCATATCGATCGCAGTGATATGCCACCATCATGCCAACATCAAGCATTATCCTTCCAATTGCTTTAAACGCTGCACATCATATTACAAGAAAATGAGAAAACCACAGCAATTTACATTCTAATTCAGAATTTTCTACATCTGCAAGATAAGGGAATACTAGAATACCATAATAAGTATTAAGATATAAAATCGACAGAAGTGAAGCTCAGACTTTTAAAATAGATCAAAATTAAAATTAGATGATCAAAGTAAGAGGCAATTAATAAATCATGGTCAACCATAAGATAAAAAATCAGAAGTAATCAATGACTGCAAAATTTAGATAATGATTCGTATGAATCAAAATTTAGAATAACTGAAAATTTTACTGAAACTATCATCTAACATTGGAAAACCAGTGTAGATATACCAAAAACAATACATTCCAACATGTAATCCTTACATAATATAAGCATCTAACAAAGCTTTTATCAAGATCAGCTATGTAAAAGCTTGAAAGCACATACAAAAGATAAGGGGGGAGATACAAATAAGCAGTGCAGCAGATACAGAGTACAAAAAATTGGAGGGAATCAGAGAAGAAAACAAAACGTTGAGGTGGTATCAAAGAAGATAATATTAAGTATAACAATGATCTTAGTGACTTTTGATTGCCTCTATAGAATATAAAGGTATGAACTAAGCCAAATTCGATTACATGTGGAAGAAGAAAGTAGGGAATTTAGAGTACTATAAATGTGTTAGAATCCAACTCCTTTTGATGTATTAGTTTTCCTTTATGTGCTTTCCTAGAGTTTAGTTTATGCTTTCTTAGCTTGAGGTCCCATTATTGTGTTACTGTCATATCAGTGTTCACTAGGGATTCTCCTTGTATGTCATTTAAAGCTCTTTAGAGGGTGAATGATTAATGAAATCTTAAGCCTTCTACCAAGTGTTGCTTTGCTCTTATGCTTGTTTGTTGTTAGACCTTTATAGATATTGTGTCTTACTTGCATAATAGCTCCCCTCCAAACCAACTTGATGCACTAAGAACTCGTGGTTCGGACCCGCTTGTGCCCGCCTTGAATTATCGGCCGTCACAAGCCCCGACCACCCGCACTCCGTCCCCCAAATAGACGTGAGTGCTCTTTGATTTAATTGTCTGCTTGTGTTGCTTTGGGCTCGCAAGCCCCTCTTCCGCTCAAGGCTAGCGTTCTTGCCGCCAAAAGGCTAGAGCGCGCCGCACGTTTCGGGGTCCAAACTCCCGGACCGTGACAAAATGCCACTTCCAGATTGCTGCCATGGTTAATTATCATACTCTAAATGTCGAAAACATGATCATATAGACATTCAATCTGGTAGAAATGGAGGGGGGGGGGGGGACAAAAACATAAACACATTAATAAAAACCTCCTGGTGATGAAGCATATATATATTTCAACTAACATCAACTAAAAATGAAAAACACCATAATGGCATCTAATCAACAGCCACACACTGTATAGATTAGTAGCAAGATATATATGCTTGTATGTATGTGTCTACACTGAACAAACTTACCAACTTCTAGTTCTGGCAAAGCACTTTGGGGCCATATATTCCGCCCACAATATGCTGGGTACCTAAAAGGCAGGGAATGAGCGAAATGTGAGTAGCTGCTTAAGATTGTATCCAAGTATAGGACATCTTAACTATAGAGAATAAGTTATTAAATATAGTATATCCTGATTTAGGTTAAAAACTGAGGAACATCCGGCTTAAAACGAATGAAGCAATAATGCATTAATTCCTTGTCAGATATAAATGTTATTATTGAGGTGATTCTTAATACAAACTGGAAGTAGAAAGTGATTGATCATCCTAGGTTTATTTCCATATTTCACTGATGCTCTACAAAAACCGAAGAATCAAGAGGTCAATACTCTTACACCAACGTGCAATATACAGTCTAAACCTTAACAAATCAACATTTATGACACAATGAGCTGATTCGTCCTAAGACTGTCAGTTCGATATACAAAGCAAAGTGGCCTGTAAAAATGACTGACATAAAAAGCATCGAACCACAATTTCTAGGCCAGACTTCTGACACTCCAGGCAGCAACATAGTGATTGCATAAAGGAGGGGTGACTTTTTGAAGGACCACTCTGGGGTTGTGTGAATTTTTAAAGGGTTTTTGGTGAGTTTACTTTCTTACCTGGATAAACCCATCAAAAAAAAAACCATGTACATAAATAAGCATGTGGCCTTGCAAATTCATCCCTTCAACTACAACCACCGACCATATTGATCCTTCCACAAACAAGGTCTATTGTGGTCCAATTTACTGTCCTTAAGAGTTAAGACCTTAGCCATTTTTTTTGTAATAAGAAGCTTTAGCAGAATGATTCTGGATGATTATATTTACTGAAATATCATAATTATGCCTATATTTCAACAAAGGCAGCAGTTGACATGGGGAAAAAAAACACACAAAAACAATATTTCTGACCTATTTTACCTTTGAATAAGGGCTTGGTCCAGCGTAGGTACATCTAATAAGGGATTTGCATAAAATGATCCTTTCAACATATCTGCAGCATAAAGAAGACAGGCAAAACAATCAGAAGATAACTGAAGAATAGCATGGATAAGAAAACATTTGCAGAATTCAAGAGAGATTCTCCTCGTAATACATATTACATACGCATAAGAAATAATTTGATGTTATTCACAGGCGACATCAAATAAAATTTCATGTAGAGTGACGGGAAGATTTATATATTTACTAGAAAAAAGTTTGATGAACCAACTACAAGTGTGAATCACAGCTTGTCAAAGCGTAACCATGACTACACAAGACAGAGGCTATTGGAGGCCCTGCAGGCTGCAGCACCTGCTAGCAGTGAACAGTCTGCCTTTAAAAACCTGACATAGAGGGCAGCAAAATGGAATAGGGAACACAAAATGATCTAGCTATCCTTTCCCAATAAATAGTTCAGAGACTTCAGACAAGGTGAAAAAAAAAGATGTCCGGCCCTTCCCTGTTGCTAAATTTTGGGTTCAATCCTTCTACTTTCTTATTTCTTTAACTCCTTATGGATCAATTCGGGATTTCAGACCTTCTCTTAAGCCTAAGGGTGAAATTGATGTACTATTAAACAGCTGATATGAAAGCTCAACACATGGGAAAGGGGATTTGGCAATAATGCAGCGTTCCAAAAGGAAGTATACGTTCAACTGCAACCCTCAATTTAGGGAAAGTATCAAGTCTTGGTCCCACAAAACATTTGTGTTTTCATTATTAAGTCTATGAGAAGAACTTCCAAAATCTCTTCCATACAAAGTAGAGAACAGAATCTATAGATATATTTAAATTTGGGATGGAAAAACTTGCCAGGATTCCCAGATTCAAGCTTCTCTTTCCCATGACTCCAACCAAAGTTGTACCTGAATTTTTTAGTTGAAGAGCCATTAAGTTAAAAGACTATAAAGCACATGGAACAATAAGTGCAAGGTTATAGACTTTATAGTGGAATTGCTTATTTGAAAAAAAAAGTCCTCGTGAGATGCCTATGCTAAAGAGCCAATCAAGAGATATGGATTTCAGCTCCAAAAGCTGTTAACTGCAGGTGTGTTAAACATGGGCAGTAATGCAGTATATAGCATATACATCTAGAATCCTTTTTATGATGGTGGCTTTTTGCTTAATATTGCCAGTAAGATTTAATGATCTATAAAAACTAACACCTACACATAATCAATGGCAACACAATACTTAAATTACATTAACAATATCTGAACGCATCTACAGATGCTCTCAAACAAGGAACAATAACGGGGGTTGCCCTCACATAATTATTTCCAGCAGCAAAACAGCATCACGCAGAAAGATAAACTTTGAACACTAAGGACCAATAAATAGAGTAAATTGCCAATAGGATCAGAGTACACAAAAGAAAGGAACATGGCTTAATGAGCAAAAAGCTATATGTCTTGTTAAATGGTTACCTACTATCAGGATCCTCGAGTTTTTCCTTCTCTTCCTCCGGAAGTTTTGCTAGTCTGAAAACAATATACATACGCAAAACATGATTATCCAAATTGTGATGCTACTCTACTCCTAATTTACTTGACAGCTGCCCATACATCATTTGTCCTTTTACAAAAGACATTGAAAAACAATATCGAATTCTTACTTGGGTGATAGACGCAGAAGAGTCTGGCGCAATGAAGAAAAACCTGGAACCTACATAGAGATGTATAATACATGTGAACAAGATCAGTAACTCAATAAGTATGTAGGGCAACTGTGTATTATAAAACCACCAATTAAAACTTTGCAGACAATTACAAATTACAACATTGATTCCGCTATGACAAAACCTAGATAAGGTATGAAACATGACTGAAGCTAGAGCCTTTTATTGACCTAAACTAATTCAATGAACTCCCAGATCTAACCACGAGAAGAGAAAATCGATCTTTATCATTCTCTGAGCATGAAAACATTAAAAAGGTGTTGAACAAGTGTGAGAAACATGGAAATATAGAACATTCGTGTACATGGATCCCCGTCCTTTTCTTCCCAACATCAACAATACTACTACAACCTTTACTCTCCAATTATACACGACAGCCTCACGTGAGTCACGTCCAATGTCAAGCTTTAGGAAGCACTAGTGTCATATGGGAGTGGTGATGTTATAGACATCTACACTATTTGATGCAAGGTCATTAATATAGGAAATGGTAATGCATTGTTATCTTAGGAACACCATAAATCATGATACAAAGTATATCATCCTAAGAAGGTCAACGAAAGTCAACAAGCCTTATAACTTCAAACTTCTTAAGACTCAACTCCATGATTGATTTCGAGTTTTCGACAATTAAATCATAGTCGTATGTATCCTGTATTAATTATTTATACATTTAATTTCCAACTTCATCACCTAAGGTCTTGTAACTTTGTAAGTTTGATCAAACATAGTACTTCGAAATTAAAATGCAAATTGAATAGAGAATCATAAAAATTCAAGCAATTAAATACTAATAATTAAACAAACAAGTGAAATCATGAAAATAATTACGTTGGAAATTGAGATAATCCCGAGTCCATTAGGTCCAAAACCTTTTTCAATCAAAGCAGACAAATCTTCGTTCTTATCCTTCATATTCAATCACAAATAATATTCCAACAAAAAATGAGCAATAATCCAAAAATAATAATAAATATATAATTAAATTATGAGCAGAAAAAAACACAATTGAAGAAGAAACAATACTTGGATGTCGGAGAAGGGAATGGTGACCGGACGAACAGTCGGAGGATGAGAAAGCGACATCATAGAAGCACGAAATCGGAGAGAGAAAACCCTAGAATTTGGGGAAAAAATGCGAATTGTGTTGAATTTTGGCGTGGAAAAATGAAGGTGTATAAATTGCAGAGAGTTTCAAAAACATCGGCAAAGTTTGGCAACTTCGGTTGCTTTTTATAGTAGGCTAGTAGAGTTTGTGTGATAGTTCAAAAATAAGAGGGAAATGAAAATAAATTACGTGGTAAAATAACATTTGGAGTGTTAAGATTCCAAGTAGGTGTAATATTGTAATGTGTATAATTAATTAATTGAGTGTTTTCAAAAAAAAAAAAATTAATTGAGCGGATTTTCTAAGTGGGTGGATCGCATCTATGATCTAAGTTAATGTAAAATTGGATAATTTAAGACTTATATTGTGATTAATAATACCAATTGGGTGTTGGTGTAGTGGTGATTGGAACTACACTTGATAGGGACAACAATTGGGAGGGGATTGGAACCTAACCACTCAAAACTGATCCCCGAATCTGAATTAACCCAAAGGATAAACCGGGTAGAACACCAAAAAAAAAATATAAATAAAAAATAGCTTATAAACTACTACGGAGTATTTGAATAAGAGAATATTCACGCTTCTCTCATCACATGATGTTGTTAGTCATATGAATCCAATGAAAACTAAAAACTATGTAAATGTTCTTTGCAAGGATCGAACACAGCTCAGCAAAAAAGTTCTACACTAATTGAACCCCAAAGAAACCAACTTTGCCAAGTTCTATGCATAAAATTGCTAACTGCAACATTTACTAAAATAGATGATGTGTACCGTTAGTCACGGCGTTAAGTGTCGAATTCAACAACAATGAAAGTCATTTTTCAATATCTAAGTTCTCTGTTACAACGCAGCTGTCTTCACATCAACACCACAAACCTTCCTCGTCGGCGGCATATGCACTCAAACAACACCATGGTCGGGAGCCTAACAATATAATCATGCAATTCTTCTTCTTCCTCCTTTTCTTAATCAAGCTCCATTAATGGAGCTCGAACTTTCATCCTCACCCATCCCCCACCAACACCACCATTTTCGGCGGCGAAGCAGCCGAATTAAACGAAAACCCTAATATAAAGGGGAGAGAAAAAAAGGGCAAGATCAACCCCTAAGGTTAAGGGTGTCATCTTCCTCCATTGAAGTAGCCTTTGAGCTTTTGAAACTCCATTGAAGATGCTCTTCAAATGGGCAGGAGTAAATAAGACTATGGGCAGTTGTAATTCTGTAAAAGAGTGAAGGAAGGTAGCGCGCTTCGTCAATGTGTCATTAACGTCTGTGAAGTTGAAGTTAGACAAATATCTCAAAAAGACGCTTTTGCCCTTAATTTTCTAAGCGAAAGTACAAAATTAACCCCATGAGACTTACTTTGTTTCTCAAGAAGAGAAACTGGAATTACCCCTACTTAACTTCAAGGCTTTAAGTGTATGTGATTCTATGTATGATGCATGCATTGTATCCTACCACACCATAATCTCTTAGTGGCTCAAATTCATAAAATTATACTCTCTTCGTCCCCAAATATAGTTTTATTTGTGAAAAAACACGGTAATTAAGAAAATGGGGGAGGAGGAGGTACAAACAAGTACCTTAAAAGTAGAAAAAAGCCAATGATTTACAAAAGTTAGAGGGAGAAATTGCAAAAAAGTGACGCTTTGTAGTAAGAGTTCTTTGGTGAATCCCACTATTATGTTAGAACTTCTAACTTGAAATATTATAATCAACAAATTAAGCTTTATTGGCATAGTAATGTACTCTTAAAACGACAAATTATTATTAATGGCATAAAATATGATCCACTCAAAACCCTTTCAATATAGAGGAAATAAATTACTCATTCCTTTGACAATTTTAAATTTCAACCTCTCAACTTCATTCTATCAATAAAGTTGATCATGTAGGTGATTTTGTCATGAAAATCATTATTATCCCAAAGGTGATCATTGGCTAGTTTGTTAAAAAAAAAAGTGTCATAATTTGAGTAAAAGTAGCTAAGATGTAAACATTCATCTAAACTTACTAAAATCAAATTAGGAGTTGTTTGACCTAATCTTATGAAATCGTTTCTCAATCTAAGTACTCCCTCCGTTTCATAATGTTAATCCCATATGGAATCAATCACATAAAATAAGAAAATAAATATATTTGGAATCTAACATTAAAGTACAACAGATTTCATAATTAGTTTACCTTATTTAATTATTTTTTTTATTAGGAAAACACAAGTCATAATTGCATAATTTAAGGTAAAAATTTCCTTACTTAGACTAATGTCATCAATCCACAATCAATTAATTAAAAAAAAATCAAGTCATAAATGAAATATATTCAATATGGGTAGAACTTTTTGAAACGCTCAAAATAGTATATGGGACTAACATTATGAAACGGAGGGAGTAATATAAATTGGGCCAAATAAGGAAATTTTAAGAAGTCCAAAATAGATTATAGTGAGGGTAAAATGAAAAACACCAATTTGTTACTTCTTAAGTGTTGTTTTTCGAGGAGCTTTTCCTCCTAATTTTTTTTTTTTTTTTTACAAAAACACTCCTAACATTTTACAATAAGACTTCTGCCTGATGCGAGTCATGCGCCTTAGATTGCTCCTAACGCGAATTTACGCCTAAAAAATTCATCAACTCTAACCATCGGGTCCTAACCGGACCTTTTTCAAGCCAAACCTTGTATTGGGATCAGGTCTACTCAAAGTCTCTAACTATTACTCGATCATAAGTCATACGTAGTCACTCATAAGCTTATTCGAGACAACGCCATACGATTTTTGGGCTTCAATGGCTTGCAAAAACCTCCCACTCACCAACTATCTCACACACTCATTTCCACTCTTCTCAAAATTCCCATCATCTTCTTCAGCAAAACTTAATCAATTTCTGGGTTATTCAACTTCTAACTCCACTGGTTTAAATTCAACCGTTGTATCATCGAACAACTTCACTTGGGATGATGTTATTCAAATTGGTCAGTCCAAACCCGACCCATCTGACCTAACTGGTTTCTCTGATAAAGTTAGCTCTTGTAATCGAAATGTGGTAAGTAATTTTATCTTTTCCTTTTTTTTTGGTGGATGATGAAGATGAACTGACGATTTAGGATTTATTTTGCAGGAAAAATTGTGGGAATTTGTTCCATTTGTTGTTGAAGAGCAAGTTGTTGGTTATGTACATAATGGGTAATCTCTTTATTCTTCCTTTGTGGATGATTGCTATTGTAATTGTAATTAAATTGTTTGAATTTGAAAATTCATGTAAATTTGATTAGATATTGATGAAAATTATGCCTGGAAATTATCAGATGCTAATTGTAAATTTTGCAATTTCTCGTATATCTTAATGACATTTCAGTTGTATAAGATGTACTGATTCTTCTTGAGCTTGAAATTTGACATGAATTTAAAATTTTGATTTAGTTGTTGCATTGGTAGTTTGAATTACACTATTAACGTGACTATTAATTCCGGGTGTGGGGAGGTAGTATTCATTTTATTGCCAAGACAGTTGGGGTTAAGGGGTTTAGCATTAGTTTTTGCATTTCTAGTTTGGATTACACTACTAACGTGACTATTAATTCCGAGTTTGGGGGAGTTGTAGTACTCTTTTTTTTTGCCAAGACTGTTGCATGTTGGGGCTAAGGGATAATTCAGCGACATGAGTTTGGAGCTGTATGTTTTTACATATCTTAGTTTTAGCTCTTTAATTGTTCTAGAACACAAGATCTTAGTTGTGGTTGTACTGCCATCCGGATTAGCATTCTGATGAAATTTGATCATGAAATCACAATGGCAAACTTGGACTGAGATGATAAAAGCTGTTCATTTCAATAAAGGTTGCTGTCAAAATATATTATTTCCATTTTAAGATGTAGAATGGATGCTGAAATGCTGTAAAAATCAATTTGGAAAACTTCAAAGCTGTTTACATCCCCCTGATCCCCTTATCTTGAGAAAATAAACTGTCAACTAAATGCGTACTTTGACAATTCATAGATTTGCTGACCACTTGAGAAGGTTCCAAGATGTGTTCTTGTTCCCACAAGATGTTTTGCACAATGGTCATTTCGACTGGTATATAACACTACATCCAGAACTAAAATCACCTGAAGATAGGACTTCTGCAGTTGCTAATGTAATCAACTGCCTGGGAGAAGAACTGATTCCAGGTATTAGGAATGAGGTATTTCTGATGGCCAAGCATTTTATATTCTATACGATTCAGTATTGCATCTCTCTTTTTCATGGATTTCTAGTGGAATGTTTACTACGTTACTGCCTAACTTGGAGTGATAAATTCAAAGTGCCATCTGCTGATCTGCCCCTTTTAGATGTTCTCGAAGTATTTATCAAGTTACATTTCGGAAACTATTGACGTATGTATGTGTAAATATAAGTTTTATCCTGCAAATTAAAAAGAAAAGTTTATTGAAATTCTCTATTGCAGCTCCAAATCAAGTTTATTTGCATGTCAATCTTTTCTATAATGTTTTTATAAGGGAAACTTTTGGCTCTTTTCTTATGCATAAGTCTTAAACAGCACTTGTTTAGAAGCTTACGGAAATATAATTATACTAATCTGTTGACAGAACAATGAATATTTTCCTAACCATGAATGACTGTGCATGACATTGACTTGAACCAGCTCTTCCCTGTTACATCATGCTTTGGGACACGAGCGTTTTTCTCACTAGAACGTGCTGCAGCTCCTTATTTTGGAATAAAGGTAAAATAATCTCTGCTTTTGATAACCATATTCCTTGTCTATGTCATTTAGTCACTTTGTTGCATCTTTTAAAAAAGGTCCTCAGTGTCATATTACTTGGATAACAGCATTTTTTTTGGCTTGCTGTTCCTAATTATATTTGTCATTGTCCTGCTAGTAACATGTCTACAAGTCAGAATATTATTTCCCAATGTTAAGTCTTTTGTGTAAGTGGGCTTTGATTTCTAGTTTACAGTCATCTAGAGAACTGGAAATGCTGTATGAGGAGCTGAGTGTATGTACATGAAGTTTGTAGATGCTCCAGACTCCTATCTTCTTTGGGTCTCTATATCATGCAGTTATTATCCCCATTCTAGGAGAAACAAGAATCACCAAATTCAATGTGTCACCTGCCCACCTCACTGTTCTGTATCTCTGTGATTCATAAAATTTCAATTGTCTATCTGCATTAGTTGAGTGGAACTAGCATCGTGTGACTAGTCACAAAACTTATTTAAAAGCAAAAGCTTGCTAGGTGATGCTTGTTTTGCTAATTGAATTTGGTTCTAGCATACACAGTGATTCTAGTTGTATAACTGTATTGCTCCAGACAGTAATTATATTTGTTTTGCATAATTGAACTACCATTCCTTAATTCCTCCGAACAGAAGAAGACTAATGTGGTCTTGCATTTTCCTTTTATTATAGGCATATGGAGTTCACATGAATGGCTATGTTGAAAAAGAAGGTCAGAAGTTTCTTTGGCTGGGAAAGAGAAGTCAAGCAAAGTCCACCTTTCCAGGGATGCTTGATCATCTTGTTGCTGGAGGATTGGTTAGTTGCAACTTTCAGCTTGATGTTTTATGGGGCTTAAGAAAAACTTGCAAGGAGTTTAGAATTAGTGAACAATTGTTGACATTCTTTATATAGTAATCGAACTCATATTTGTTATGCTAACATCTCACGTCTGCTCTTTGGGTCCTGGAATATCTTTCAAAAATACATGTTAAAAGACAGAATTAAAAATTACCATCTTATCTCATCTTTAAATTAGTTTTTTTATCGCCTTTTGACATTCTTGAGCCTTTACAAATTTGGAGCTTCCTTCATAGTTAAAGCTTCAGTTAAGTACTTTCATACCTGGCCATAGAATCATAGATACACTGTCTGGTGGATTTCTCTATGTTATCTTTTGCTTGACTATTCTGCGACTTTTTTGTCCTCAAATTTGATCAATCTCTTTGCAATGGTTCTTTTAAGCATTTGTTAATCTAGTTAGTAATACTTGGATTGCGTAAAGCTTTAGTTTCACTGTTACCATTTTACCTCTTGAGCCTATAGCCTGCAATAATCTCTTTTTGTCTTGATAGTGTACATCTTACTATGTTTCTCATGCCATATTATTTTTGTTTAAATCTTTATCTCAAGCATCTTTGAAAATATTGCAGCCTCATGGAATTCCTTGTGGTGAGAATATGATGAAGGAATGTGAGGATTAAGCAGGAATACCCATATCCATCTCCAAGAAGTAACCATCTGTCCAATCCCTCTTTTTGGTCTAGAGTTGATATCATTTTTTTTATTTAAAACACATATTACAATGCTTAACTAAGGAACTGCTACTGCTCAAGTTTTGTAAATTTGTCGTATTCTAGGATTCTTATATCATCTGTGCACCTATGACCCTTTAACATCTATGAGTAATAACTTGCTTATCAATGTATTCATGGCATCATGTTCTGTGTGTACCAGAGTTGAACCAGTTGGGGCTGTCTCTTACTTGGATATCAATGGAGATAGACTTAAGAGAGATGTTCTTTTCTGTTACGATCTCAAGCTTCCTGAAGATTTTGTTCCCGACAACAATGGTAGGCAGGCTAAGCTGTAATGTCATTATACCCCATATTGAAAATGATGGCTTTGCCCTTTTTCATATTTCATTTGTCCTGTCAATTTTTTTTTTTATATATATTTTTTTTTGTAATATGGCAGATGGTGAGGTGGAGAGCTTCAGGTTGATCCCTGTTCCACACGTAGCAAATGTGATTAAGAAAACCCAATTTTTTAAGTCAAATTGTACTCTTGTCATCATTGACTTCCTTTTCCGACATGGGTATGTATTCTATCTATCTATTGTTAGTTTTAGCTTATCATATCGAATTTGAGGTGTTGGAAATGGGATTATATAACCTCTCCAATCTGTTTAATTGGTTGGTTGGTTGTTGATAGCTAATCTTATCACTGAATTCCAATTTTCCCTGTTATGGCGTTTGCAGATATATATGTCCTGAATATGCCGGATACTTGAAGCTCCTTCAGAGTTTAAGGAGTGGAGACTGCTCCTGAATTGGCTTTAGCATGGATTGTTGTTAATGGGGATGTCTTAAAATAATGTGTACAGTTGAACCTTGAATTTTAATTATACATTTATACCTTGTATATGGATGAACATAAATTTCTGCAATAGTTGTCTGTATTTTTTGACAAGGCATAAACTTGTACTCCGTGATTTTGCTGTTGGTTACTCTTAGGGGGCGTTTGGTTCGCAAAGTGGTATAGGTTTGGAATCAGGAATAGGGTTAAGGTGGTATCGGGTTGGAACTTAATACTTAATACCATGTGTTTGGTTTAATTTTGGAATGAAATATCATCTCCTTAATTTCATATATTTGATACCTAAGGGAATGGAATGAGCCAAACCCACCTCCCCCCTGAGGTTTCTAAACCCCATACCTCATGGGTTTGAGGTACTGGTTTAAAAATCATATTTTTGACAACCAAACATATGGTATGGGTTTTGGTCATTCTAAACCCATACATAATACCTATAATCTGCGAACCAAACGCCCCCTTACTATGTAGAATTTAGCTGCACTGAAAAAACTCTTAGAGGGATCGACTGTAGAGGTTAAAATTGTGGCTCTTTTTGCCTCCTTATGAAGGAAGGGGGTGCAATAGATGTATGAGTTGTTAGCAAAATGTTGGAGACTTGGAGGTTTAATAAAGTAGGTTTTCAAGTCTTGTTCTTTTCGTTGCTCTACATGAATAACATGATCATCTTGTATGGATAATTTTATTTTTTATTTTTGAAGAATCAATTTCATAGAGCTTTCACTTGCGTAAAATACGTAGTATCGCTATATCGGAGTAAATACAACCAACATATTGAAAAATCATTATACCTCGCTAATAAAGAGATCAATCGGATTAACAATCACCTAAAAGAAAAGACTACAACACGAACACATAAGTGATTTTTTTTACTATAAGCATAGACTAAAATTGCTCATGAGTTACTCCGTACTACTTTGTACTTCATCCGTCCCTAAATTACAATCCTAGTTTCTATTTTGGATATTCCAAAATTATATTCATCCTTTTCATTTTTAGTAAGCTATTTTTTTCCAAATATTTGAAATCAACTCTCTTTTTCTGTTATATAGTTTATGCTTTCTCACGCTTATTTTCTCTCTCCATTGTTTTTCTGAAGTTTGTACTTCACATTACTAACCTAATGAATATGATTGGTTCTTAATTTTCAATTAGAAGCATGTTATTGGTCTTTTTTTTTTTTGCAAAGGATTGATGTCATGGCATCATTAATCTATTTTTGTTTTACTCAAAGGCATCATTTAATGTTTTGTATTTCTATTTAAATATTTCATTATTGTTATTTGCCTTATTCTTTCCTCTTTAATTCCCGTGTAATTTTACAAACAGGAATGTAATTTAGGGACGAAGGAAGTAGCTTTTTTTTTTTAAAAAAACTTATCACGGTCTATGCTTTAATTTAATACTTCCTCTGTTTACTGTATTTTTAGTTGATACAATTTTTTAGTTGCGTTTTCCTATGCACAAGTTCAACCGTTAATATTTTTAACTACCGAAAAGCAAATATTACGATAAAAAGTTGATATTTTGAAAATATATACTGTAAATCACAAAACACGGTGAAAGGGAAGTGTGTGAATAATGCTAAAGGCCTTGTTTGGCAAATGGCAGTTGGCTGTTGGCTGGTTCACTTGGCTTGTTTGACCAACTGGAATGTTTGGCTGTTTATAATGACTTTTGAAATTGGCTGTGGGCTGTTTATAAAAGTGTTTGGTAAATTAATTGGTGGTTGTTGACTGTTTATTAGATAATTTGTGGGCCAACAAGCCAAAAGCCAACAAAAAAGCTACTCAAAACAACTTTTTTATTTTGGCTTAAAAGCCAACTTTTTCGCTGACTATAAAGGCAATTACCAAACACATTTTTTGGCTGTTTGACCACCTTAGAAAGCCAAAAGCCAAAAGCTAACCAAAAAAACCATTAAAAAACCAATTACCAAACATGGCCAAAGTCAAAGTCAAAGTCAGAACGCGTTACCTACAAATATGGAGGTAGTACAATCTCACCAAACCCGCCCAAAGAAACCGGGTTAAACCCGAAACACTAGGGTTTTGTATATAAAGAAACAAACAAGCACCACACGCTCAACAACGAAGAATGAGGCAGGGAGAGGCCATCGGAGTTTCCGAGGCCGTTTGCCACTCTCCCTTGATAACCCACCACCCTTTACGGCGGTCGGTAATCTTTAGCCGATGATTTCTCCGACCACCATTAAAACGGCCCTCAAAGAAAGATCAGCTGCTTCAATAATGGCACTATCTTACCCCCCTTTCTATCAAACTTGGTCACTAATTGGCCTAATTATTACTACTACTCCGTATTATTTATTTATTTATTTATTTATCATCTTCATTATTATTATTATTATTACTACCTCCGTTTTTTCCGTTGAGGCTATGATGAATTCGATCGTTCAATCTAATCCAAGTTTTTCTGGGTTTTGGTTGTGTTTTTCGAGGTGGGTATTTTTCCATTTGGCTTGGCAGCAACTTGATCGGCATTTTTGGTTGCGACGGTGGTGTTGGTAGTGGTTGTTGTAACTGGAAACTAAGGGCCTGTTCTCATTTACTGACTGAGCTGAACTGAAAACTGAACTATAATTAAGCTGAACTGAATTGGTCCTAAGGCCTTGTTTAGTTCATCTTATATTTGTTAATGTCGATCTTGTTTGGTTGCCGCCATGGTTGATTACCTTCACCTTGATAATGCTCCCCCAAAAAAGCTTTGGTGAAATTCGGATCTGAGCCTCCCCCAAACACTCCTCAAAAAATGGACGAAAAGAAATCAAGTTTTTTGAAATTATGATATGGTTTTTATGTTTTGCATGTGATTTTTTGCATGTTTGTGATTTTGTGAGTGTAATTTGCTGTTTGGGTTGTGATTGTTTCTTGCTTAAGCTTACAATAAATGGTGAAAGTAATGTTTTTTTTAAGTGATTTATTGTTGGGTTGCAGGTTTGGGTGAAGATATTAGGAGGGGCAAAGTTGATGAAGAGGTTAATGGGATTTTGATTGTGTTATTGGATAGTAAGCTTGTGTATTTTAGGCTTGTATATAGTTTTACAATGAGCTTGTTATAGCTGCATAGCCTGCATTTCTGGGTTTATTGTAAGGTTGTTGTCTGCTTTGAAAGTTTTAATGTTGAATGGTTAAATTAATATAATTTTATATGTAGTGCTTATTGATATTATTTTGGAACGCTTGTGAAAAGCTGTCAAATAATGTGTGTTTCAGTAACTTAGAACACATTCCTGTGGATATAGATGATTAGTAGCAGCAGCAGTGTTGGTAGTTAGAGATTGCAATTTTGAACCAATTTCTTCATGCAATTTTGTACCTTGCCTCCCTTGCTTTTTACTGTGGAATTTGGGAGGGGGGGGGGGGGGGGGGAGGTTCTGTTGGTTTTCTGCATTGAGGTGTTTCTTTTCGTTGTTTCCCCTATTCACATTTCTTGCTCTCTCTGTTGGAGATGGATGAAAATCAGTTTAATTGCTATCGACTGTTCATTTTTGCTGGCTACTTGTTAAAAAACTTCATGCTGTGATTAGAAGTTAGAGCTTTGCAATCCAGAGGATGTTAGTAATGCCTCTCTTATTCAATTGTAGCTTTGTCATATGCTATCAACTTTGTGGAGGCTGTCGTCGTTTCTTCCCTTTTTTCAATTGGCATTGTCATGGAAAGATCATGGCTCATTGCTTGGATAGAGAAGAAATAAGCAAACACTTTCCTGGACATCTTTTCTCAAAGGAGATCAGGTTTCTTTGCCCTGTTGAATGATTTCTCCCAAACTCACCCATGGGATATTAGTTCTAATACTCAAGTACAGTTCACGACTACAATAAGTTCAGGGTAGTGAATTTCAGGTGAAAGGGAAAAGTGATTTCATGTGAATGCCGACTACAATGAAGTCTATTGGTGACACATTGTGCACTATTCGCATTCACCACTTTGACCAGCGTTGGTGCTTTATACATTAGATTAAACATAGTCTGTGAGTACTTGTGAGTGCTGGTCAAATTGGGATATGTAAAACAACGGAGTATAAACCTGGCCTTTTGTTGTTTCTGAAATTTTAAGGCTGTGATGATAAAAAAATTCTACTTCAATTAGTAGACTGGCGCTGGAGATACATAATTAGGGTTGTGCCATTGGCTTGGCAGCAGTAAAGCTGATAAGCTCTACTTGATTTGCCGCCATGGTATTGACTACCAGACTTTTGTCTCCTTATGCTTGATCAAAGGCGAATCTGAGCCTTTTTGTTGTGACTGAATTTTAGTGGGAAGATAGTACACCTTTATGTTTTCTCAAACCTTTTAAGTTTTTCACTCACATATTCTCCCTATCCTTTTTATCCCCTTACCACTTGTAAAACTCTCATAAATTTTATTTGTCTTTCTGTTTTTCACTTTATACACTCTATCCAACTTTTATTCAATCGATTATTTTGCTATGCTCTTTTTCCTTTTCGGATGGTTCCTTGTGACGATTCATGTTAGGCTGTTAACCGTACCCAAATCATTTGGGACTAAGACTTTTATGTTGTTGTTGGGAAGATAGCATACCCTAATCTATTAACTTACGCAAGTAAGCCAGTCAACTTGCTTTACAGTTCTCCAGTTCAATTCCATTCAGTTTAGATACATGTTTTCTACTCCAATAAGTAAACTGCTACTGGAGAAATGAATATCAAGGGTTTTGCCATTGGCCTGGCAGCAGTAAGCTGGCGAGCTTTACTTCTTTTGCCGCCATGGTACTTGAGTTCTATCTTTATCATCTTCTAGCTGTTAGTTTTATTATGTGCTGTTAGTACTGTCTGTCATTATCTTGCATCTTTTAGCTGTTAATTTGATTATGTGCTCTTGTTTGGGACTTGGAATGGCTGTGCATCTTGAAAGCCGTTTGCCTCTTCGCTTTGATGATCACTGTGGCTGGCTAGGCTGATCACCATATACAAAAGCCGGTAATTTCTAACCTTTGACTACGGCTTGATAAACAGTATGTCTTTTTTTTCTCTATTATGTTCTGCACCCTTTGTTGCTTGTCTTTCTGTTTAAATGTCATGATAATAGCAATAAGATTTAGTCTTACAACTATGTTCCACTCTAATATCAAAGTTTACACCTCTTCTTAATTTTTTTCTTTTCGTAACTGTTATTTTCCAGGAAATCAAAGTTTCAAAATATTAGAGATGGCTATTTCGTCTTTTTAGACAATCATGAAACATCTGGTCAAGATAGAATCTGTATTACTTCTGTATGTTTTACCTTAATCTCTTGGAGATTTTGGTTGCATTAGTTTCTAGTCAGACTTCGGAGTTCAGAGTAACCAAACCACTGGCCAAGGATGCTTGCAGTTAACCAGCAGCAGCTAATCTGATGATTGTGGTGCTGCTAGTGGTCTTCTTGACGCCTCCCAATCGCTGATGAAGTTCTCCTTCGCGAGCTGAACTCTCACCTATTCACTTGGATGTGCTCCGGGTCTTTGCATGCAAATTAACCTGCACCATTTCTACGTATTTTGAGACGATGACGAAATACACAGGATTACAGGAAGCATGTTGGTTCCTGGAGAATTTTACATTTGGTTTTGGTTTTGGTTTTGGTTCACTGAAACATTGTATATCTGTAAAGTGAGATAAATCAGTAAACTAGTAAAGTATTGATGATTAATTACTTCATTGTACAAGTGCACGTTCAAAATCAATGAGAAATGCCTCCAAAATTTGGAATTGCGGTTTTTGTGAAGTTTATTTGAATTGTAAGTGTTTTGAGTGAGAAAGATATCCATGTAACACGAAAATCACTCTTAGAGTCTGTCTCATTTCTTTGAACAATTAGTTCAAACATTTGGTTGAAAAGTAAAACTACAATGGTACAAGCCATAGTTTGGAAGTAGATTAAACTTCGGTAGTTAAAGTAATGAGCCTCTAATGAAATTGCTTTGTAAACCTTGAATGGCATAATTTTAGGCTTTTTAGCTGCTACATAAAATGCATTTTTGGGAATTCACTATTTATTTTCAGTGTAAATTCATCCCTCAAGTTTTGCAACTAACGTCTCTAGATCACTAAATAAAATGGAAATGAGATACGAAGCAATCTTTAAAAGACTACTCTAAAATTTATGGACGATTTACCAAAATATGGTTAAATTGAAACTTATTTACCATTTTGCGTCGGTACTAAACTTATTTACCAAAATGTTGTCCACGTAGGATCGGGAAACTTTGTTAATTTTTTTAAATATTTTTTCAGCTTAAAACCGCTACTTAAGGTAGCGGTTTTAGTATATAAACCGCTACTTAAAGTAGCGGTTTTTGTACATAAACCGCTACTTGAGGTAGCGGTTTTGGTATATAAACCGCTACTTCAAGTAGCGGTTTTAGTACATAAACCGCTACTTGAGGTAGCGGTTTTAAGCTGAAAATTATAATCGAAAAGTTGATAAACCTGTAGGCATCATCCCCTCATTTGTGCAACCTGTAATAATATCATGTCATGTACATCCACACAACTTATATAATTAACCTATTTAAAACAATTCCAACCAATAACAAATGTCCACAAACAAACCAAAATATTTATAATAACATTGAATTAATTAAAGCAAGTATTACAAATATACCAAAATGAGTTCTGATGAAGCAATAATTTACATCTCCTACTCTAATGGCGTTTTTTACGATGTAATGGTCATGGTGTTTCAAAATTTGACTCATCCACTTCCAAAATGGGTGACGTAGTAAAAGTGGTTCGTCGAGCATAAACTAGTGGTGGAGATACAACTATAGAAGAGGCTACTTGATAAGTAGAAATACCAGAATAATTATGTGGCAACATGGATGTGAACGAGGGTGAACTAGTGGCTGCAAGCAAAGGGGGTCGAGGAGTAAAAGAGGGCAGAGGTGTAGATGTAGTCAAAGTACTAGATGAGAGCATAGGTGTAGTAGTCAAAGCAGGAGAAGAAACTGAAGGTGAAAAACTTGTGCTCAGTTGACAAGAAGGTCCACGTCCTCGACCACGAAGATCCCTTTGTTTTCGTTTGCGGGGTGCTTGAGAGTGCAACACACTTTGCAAGGAGGAGCTAGATGGTGTGGAGGCCGAGGGTGACCGAAGAACTTCACTATCTTGGAGGAGGTGAGGTTGATCGACCCTTGTTAACGTGTCAGCACAATATGCATTTATAGTGCGAAACGATTCTAAAGTCAACGGTAATGCTTTCTCCATAGGCAAATCACCAACAGCCTCAATAATTCGCATGCACCTTTGGGCTATATCACCTAATGCATGTGACTGTAAAAAAGAAAGAAAGAAAAAAAAAAACAGCAACAACAAAAATTAGAAAAGTTTACAACATTTAACATGTTAAAAGAAAAATTAGAAACTTAAAGTTTACAACATTTAACATGCTAAAAGAAAAATTAGAAACTTGGTCAATCTTACCAACACCAACTCAGTCGAGGCAGGTTGGTAATGAGTAGAAGGGCGGATTTGTGTAGGGGGAGTGATGATGGTCCTAGTGATGCGCCGATACCAATTCATGTACTGTAACAATGTGCGACCACTAAATGGATGACCAGAAACTACTCTATCCTCACGCTTCTGCCATTCTTCTATATACTTTTCACAATGTCATAGTTTTTGTTGCGCTTACGTTTATCCACCTTATGCAACTTATCACTTGTGTCAAGAGTTGTAGGGATCGTTTGCTCCAAACCAAACTGTCGCATAACTCGTCCTGGCATATGGTACTCCACAATATCAAAGCAAATCAATGGCGCAAAAGTGCGCATCACATTATGATCGGATCGACATATCTCAGGCAAGGATGCAAGAACCTCCTCGGTATATGGTTGCCATGTCATCTACATTATGATGACTAAGTTATTACCATAAAAAAGAAAAAAAAAACCACATTCACCGCATGCAACAGGAATGCATCCATTAAGTGTTTTCCCACGTTAGATGCAAGATGTCGAATGAAAAACCTATGATGTGCAAAAGGCTCCTCCCATCCACTCCCCTCCTTATTCATTGCATCTAGTATCCCTGCATGTCGATCAGAAATGACACATAAACCTCTTCTTTGAGTGACTGATTGCCTAAGACATGCCATGAACCATGACCAAGTTTCGATAGACTCATTTTCTACAATCGCAAAGGCAAGAGGGAAAAGCTAAAAGTTTGCATCAGTTGCCATTGCTATGAGCAAGGTGCCCTTGTAGCTCCCATATAAGTGAGTCCCATCAATAGTGATTAGAGGTCTACATTGCCGAAATCAATCAATGGATGGCTTAAAAGCCCAAAAAACTCTTTTGAACACATGAATAGACGGATTAGATGTCTCTATTGTGCTCCAATGAACAACAGTTCCCTCATTGGCTTCTTGTAAAGCTTGCATGTACCTAGGCAACTCTTCATACGATTTCTCCCAATCACCAAATATAATGGCAATTGCCTTTTGTTTTGCTAGCCACGCCTTCCTTAAGTTATAGAGAATTCGGTTCGATCCTTAATAACTTGTACAATAACACGTATTTTAAGAGAAGGATCAACTCGTACAGGATCTAAGATGATATTGCACACAAATTCAGAAGTGAGATTTTGATGATCACCGGAGATAATGTCACCTACACAATTATTTGCATGCGGACCATTATACTTCACAACTCGAAAAATAGGTAACATTGGATCCTTAATTGCACGCAGCTTCCAAGGACAATTGTGTGTCTTTTTCCTTTTACACTCCACAACATACTTTGATGGCTCGGACTCAACAACTCGAAATGATTGATTTTTAGTGATGAAGTATGATTTTACTATATCTTTCAGTTGATGTAAGGAGTCAAATTCTGACCAACACTGAATTCACCATTATAAGTGTTGTTTCCTAGCCATGTTATCCATGAGTCACGAAGTGTTTGATCCATTTCTTGTACGACATTAAAAGATTGTGAAGGAGCATTTGTTTTTATGACAATGTCATTTTCCTCACATGCACCTTCTTCATCACCTTCATCACTATCCAAATTATCTACTATGGTTCCAAAGCCATCAACTTGTTCAAGATTAATGTAATCGAGTGCATCTATAGAGGGATTTCTGGAGGACGTTCCTGTGTAGGAGTTGGTGTGGGAGAAGTTAGCTCCGAAATATGTTGTTGAACATAAAGATCATCAGTCAGCAATCTTGTGAAAGAGATGCTACCTCTGAATTTGTTCCAGTCATTTGGAGAGGCATATTAGAATTGGAGCTAGGATATAACCCCAAGCTAGTCTCCATTACTACCTGCTTGACAACTTGGTCAATGTATAACTCCATAGTGGAACCCGACAACTTTGATATACCAACCCACATGGCTCTTAAAGAAATGTCGTCATCAAGGGGAAGAAGTGTATATGAACCAGAAGTAGGATATTTCATCTGCACCTTTAATTCTACATTCTTTGGATCACATTTCACAAGTTCATATAGCTTGTTCAAAAACATTGAGAAATTCATGGAAGATTTGAGAAAAACAAATTTCTTCTCACCACCTTTATACGTGACATTTCCATTACTTTGTGTAACTTCTCCGCCCCAATAACATACAATAGGTTCTTCCATTTCTAAACAAAACCTTACCATTAAAAAAAAATCAAAATAATCACATTCATTTTATTCTACATTACACTATAAATAATTATTTAAGCACAACGTGTCAAGTTTGAACACTATAATAACATCACAATAAAGAGCTCCAAATTGTACTACAATCCCAAGTGAAACCACTATTAAAATAGATTGTCAATTTATAGCACTATTGTAACAAAATGCCAAATTAGAGCACCATGTAATTGATTATATTTTGGAATTAACTTCACAATTTATAAATTGAGTTTGACAACTAAAGCACCATTCATCCAATATACGGTACAATATGGCAATTGTAGTATTTTATATAAATTAGTAAGTACATATCCAACACTTTTAATAATAAGAAAAGGATGCCATGTTGATTAATTATATCTTCCAAGCATGGTAATCTTGCTGAGAATAGCTAAATTGGCATGTAGTTAAAGCAAAATCCAAGAAAAACAAAAGCAACCAAAGCAAAACCTAACAATCAGGAATACGAAATATAGCACCGTATTTCCATACCAAAATGAGTTTATTGTATTGATTTTGACATTAAGTGGTGGTGGCGAAGTGAATTTCAAACCAAACAACAACAAAATTTAATTTAACAACTAATGAATTAATGAGAAAAAAAAAATAGGGCTAAATACCTTATGAATTTGGGGGTAAATATCAGAAAACCAATTTATTCATCAATTGGTGGTGGCGACGTGAATTGGGTCGTCCTCTGGTGTGTAGAAGGATGGAGATGACGACGGCGACGTGATGTGGGTGGTGGTCTCGTGGGGATGGAGAGGTGGTCCAGTGATGATGTCGAGGTGCGTGATGTGGGTAGTGGTCTTCTGTTCTTTTTTTGTTTTAATTTTAATGTAGTTGTGTAAAATATTTAGAAAAGCCGCTACTTTGAATAGCGGTTTTGTTATTAAAACCGCTACTTTGAATAGCGGTGTAGCTATTAAAACCGCTACCTCAAGTAGCGGTTTGTTATTTTTAAAATTAAATAGACCCAAACGTATTCCCAATCCTACGTGGACAACATTTTGGTAAATAAGTTTAGTACCGACGCAAAATGGTAAATAAGTTTCAACTTAACAATATTTTCGTAAATCGTCCAAAATTTATTATATATGAAGTATACACCCGGGTGTATCGTACACCTTGTTGGGTGTACGGTATACCCGGGTGTGTGGGGGTAGTTGAGAAAATAAAAAATTGTAAAAAGCAAAAGTAGTGGAAAAATATGAGGAGATAGAGTATTATATTGGGTCCACTGAGTGTAAGAAATGAATTAAATATTATAAAAGCTATCCATTAAAGGAAATGGAACAAGTATTTAAAAACAGCTGCAAAAAGAAAGTGGAGCAAGTATTTAAAAACGGAGGGAGCAGCATAATGCATATTTTCTTTGATTAACCTCAAAGGTCTATGGTCCTATTCTGGGCTTGACGGTAAAAGTGAGCAACCCATAATTTTTGAGGGCAAAATTGACATTTCCACTTCAAACCAGCACTACTATAAAACCCAAAAAACTAGGGTTTTTACCCAACAAAATCTCATTAGTTTAAGAATGAGGCAGGAAGAGGCAGTGGGAGTTTCCCGAGGACCGTTTTGCCCCTCTTCCTTGATCACCACCGTATACGGCGGTCATCTTTAGCCGGTGATTTCTCCGACCCTCATTAAAACGGCCCTCTGAGAAATCGAAGAGCTTAATTTCCACAATTTCGTTCTCTTTCTCTAACCATTTCTTTTTCTTTTTCTTTTTTTTTGGCTGCTCTGAATCTCTGAACTTGGCTCTGTTTTTCATCATTCACCATATCCAACCCCAACAACAGTACTACGTACATATATATATATATACATACATACATAATCAAATTAATTAATTATTGAGGCAGTGATGAGTCAATTCAAAGTAATCGATTGTTTGGTTTCTGGAATGTTCTTCGATTTGGGATAAATTTTGATCAATTGGCTTGGCAGCAATCGAAATTCTGTTGGTGTTGTTGTTGTTGTTTCTGTTGCTGTTGCTAAAACCCTAATTTTGTTGGGGTCGTTTGGTTTGTGGGATTTGTGGGTTTATTGATTTGATTGAGTTGCCGCCATGGTTGAGATTTTCCCACTTCGAGAATGTGCCGCCAAGCTGTTCGATGAAATGCAGATCTGAGCCTCCTCTTTACCCACCCACCCAAATAAACCCCAGATACAGGGGATTGAGCTACGGTAATAAGTAAGTGTGGTATGATTTTTTCATTTTATTTGGTTTATTATCTGTAATGAGATTGTTGATGTAAATGCATGAAAGTATTGTTTGCATGTAATTCTTTCTTAAATTTAGTTGAAGTATGAATTTTCTCTTTGCTCAGTTATTAAGAAATTTTGTAAGTAATGTTGATGTTTTAAGGTTTTATTTTTAGAAAATTTGTGTGATGTGATGATGTAAATTCATGATTGCATGCAAGTATAAGTGTTTTTTTCTGCATTTGTAGTATTATAATTTATCTACTTGTGCAATTATTCAGCTGCGTAAACAATGTTGATGTTTCAAGTTGTTTTTTTTTTTTTTTTTTTGGTAAAAAAAAAAAAATTGTTGTTTTATTGTGTGTAATAAGATTATTAAGGTAAATGCATGAAAAGTATAGTTTGCATGTGATTTTTTCTGCATATATATTCATGTGTAATCTGTCTTTCGTTCAATTATTGTGAAGTGGGTAAACAAAGTTGATGTTTTTAAGTTGTTGGTTTGTTCTATTGTTGATTTATTATGTGTAGTTAGATAATTGATGAAAATTAATGAAAGTATTGTTTGCATGCAACTTTTTCTATATCTATATCCAAGTTGATTTTTCTTTTTGTTCAATTATTATGATATTTTGTAATCTTAATGTTTTAAGTTGGGCAATTTTAGTGTGAAAAGTTGAGATTCAAGGGTTATATAAACCATAGCCTGCAACGCATTGACAACCAAATTTGATTCAATTATCAAAGTTGAATTCTTTGAGTATTTATGCTCAATAGTTCAATAATCCACCCTGAAAGAACCCTACATTGACTATACTGACAATTAAATTCATGATTAACCTTAGATTGTGAAATTGATATTCCATAATTGAAAAAAAGAATCTTACCTCAGAAGCTGCTTCAATTGAGGATAGAAAGCTCAAAAGCTGCTTCAATGGAGAACTAAGAGTGCGCTTCAATGGATAATTCAGTCCATGATGTTATAAATGTCAGGACAAAACCATGAAAATGGACCTTTTCCTTGGCAGTAATCCCTCCTGCCCTTGTTTCAGGGATAGTCCTGTGGTTTACCTAAAAATGAGGCAGGGAGAGGCTATGGGAGTTTCCAAAGGACTGTTTTGCCCCTCTCCCTAGACGATGACCGTCAATGGAGGTCGTCTTTAGCCAGTGATTTCTCCAACTACCATCAAAACAGTCTTCATATTGTAGGGGTTACTTGGTTAGTGTTAAAGGTGTTACTTTGTTAGTGTTAAAAGGGGTTACTTTGCTCTACAAGTGGCCATAGTTATATGGTGTCACCATCTGCACTCAAAACACTGTTTGATTAATTTGCTGCCATGGCTGTAAGTAGTTTAAGAATGAGGCAGGAAGAGGCATTGGGAGTTTCCTGAGGACCGTTTTGCCACTCTTCCTTGATAACCACCATCTACAGTGGTCATCTTTAGCCGGTGATTTCTCAGACCAATATTAAAACGGCTTTATGAGAAATTGAAGAGCTTAATTTCCACAATTTTGCTCTCTTTCTCTCACCTTTTTTCTTCTTTGGCTGCTTTGGATCTTTAAACTTTGGTTCTATTCTTCGCCGTTTACCATATTAACCCAAAAAAGTATTATGGGCTTGTTTTGATTTTCTGAAAACAAGTGAATTGAATAGAGCTGAAATGAATTGTTTATGAGAGAAGGAAATTGGGAACTGATTTGAATTGATTGGAGCTAAACTGAATTGAACTGAATTGAGCTGAACAGAACTAGGCCTTACGTACATATAAAAATACATAAATAATCGAATTATTAATTATCGAGGCTGTGATGAATCTATCCAAAGTAATTGATTGTTTGGTTTTTGGAATGTTCTTCGATTTGGGGTAAATTTTGATCATTTGGCTTGGCAGCAATCAAAATTGTGTTGTTATTGTTGGAACCCTAATATTGTTGGGGTCGTTTGGTTTGTGGGGTTTGTTGATTTGATTGAGTTGCCGCCATGGTTGAGATTTTCCCACTTCAAGAATGTGCCACCAAGCTGTTCGATGAAATGCAGATCTGAGCCTCCTCTTCACCCACACACCAAACAATCCCCAGATATAGAGGATTGATACTACTGTCATAAGTAAGTATGGTATGATTTTTTTTACAAAAATTTATTTATTTATTATGTGTTATGAATTGCTGATGTAAAAGCATGAAAGTATTGTTTGCATGTAGTTCTTTCTTACATCTATGTTGAAGTATGATTTATTTCTTTGCTCAATAATTATGCAAATGTGTTTGAGTAATGTTGATGTTTCAAGTTGTTTCTTTGTAATTGTATTCGATGAAATAATTAATGTAAATGCATGATTGAATGAAGATTTATTTACTTATTTTGATAGAGATTGCATGAAGGTATTATTTGCATGTAATTTTTACTACACTTTAATTGAAGGAGTATACTTTATCTACTTGTGCAATTATTATGAAATTCTGTAAACAGTGCTGATTTTCAAGTGTTAGGCTATTTTTATATATTTATTTATTGTTTTTTTTAATATTTTTTTTATTGTTGTTTTATTGTATGTATGAGATCATTAAGGTAAATGCTTGAAACGTATAATTTGCATGTGATTTAAGCTGTTGGTTTGTTTCTTTGTTGAATAATTGTTTGTAGTGAGAATGTGAGATAGTTGGTGTAGAACAAGTTGCATGTGATTTGAATGAAGGTATTATTTACATGCAACTTGTTCTACATCTTATTCAACTTAATTTACATTTTTGTTCAATTATTATGAAATTGTGTGATCAATGTTAATAGTTTAAGTTGAGCCATTTTTATTGTGAAAAGTTAACATTCAAGGGTTATATAAACCTAAGTTTGCATCGCATTGGCAACCAAATTGACTCAGTTACCATCAAAGTTAAAATTTTCTAGTATATATGCTGAATAGTTAAATAAACAACCTTGGAAGAACCCTAAATTGACTAATCCTGAAAATTAAATTTACTATCAACCCTAGATTGTGAAATTGATATTTGATTATTTTAAAAAAACCTTACGTTAGAAGCTGCTTCAATGAAGGAGAGAAAGCTAAGAAGCCGCTTCAATGGAGAACTAAGAGTACACTTCAATGGATAATTCAGTCCATGATGTTTTAATTGTCATGACAAAACCATGAAAATGGACCTTTCTCCCTGGGCCCAAGGCAGCGACGCTCATGCCCTTGCTCAGAGATAGTCCTGTGGTTTATCAAAAATGAGGCAGGGAGAGGCCATGGGAGTTTCTCGAGGACCATTTTGCCCTTCTCCCTAGATGACTACCATCATTGGAGGTCATCTTTAGCCAGTGATTTCTCCAACTACCATAAAATGGTCCTCACATCGTAGCTTACTGGACCCTTAACTGTGTGTGTCTCTGTGGGTTGACTTTGTAACTCTCTTATCGGCATGCATCTCTATCTTCTTACCCTAAAAACAATCATCAACCAGTAGAGGCTGTGATGAGAGTAAACGGTATTAAGTAGTCAAATCAAATTTGGGTTTGGAAAAATTTTGAGGGTTTTGGGTGGTTATTCTATTTGGCTTGGCAGAAAAATCAAATGGTGGTAAATGGGTATTATTTTATTTTTATTTTTATTTTTATTTTGTGGGTTTTTGTTCGGTTGGAAATTATTTGAGCCCAATTTGATTAATTTGCTGCCATGGTTGATTTTCCCACCTCTTAATGTTCCACCCAATTTTTTGATGAAATGTGGAACTGAGCCACTTGGAAGAAAAGAAAGAAAGAAAGAAAACAAGATTTGGAACTTGGAAGCTCCATTGTTGGAATGGTATTATTTCTATTTTTAAGTATTTTTGAATATTCGGAGTATATATGTGAAGATTATGTTGATAGAAGGAAATGAGTTATATGTTTGCATTTGATCTTGTAGTCCTAAAATTATTGTTTAGGTCTTGTTTTAGGGTGTGAAAGTTTTTATCTTGTTGAATATTTACTCAATTTTTGGTGGTGGGGTTGTTGGGTATTTCTGCATTGGCTGATTATTTGTGATAAATGTTGGTTTTCTATAATTTTATTTGGCATTCCAATTTTATTTCTAGTTGGTGTAGTTATTGAATTAAGCTGTTTTGATTAGCTGAGTAATAATAATGAATTTTTAATATTTGTTGCTTTTCTATTTCAGGATCTTTGTTCAACAATATCATTAGGTTAAGAGTGAGGCAGGGAGAGGCATTGGGAGTTTTCTGATGACCGTTTTGCCCCTCTTCCATGACAACTTCCCCCTGTGATGTTCATCTTTAGCCGGTGATTTCTCCGACCACTGTGAAAACGATCCTCTGCGAAATTTAAGAGACTAACTTCAAAGTTTTGCTCTCTTTCTCTCTTTTATCTGGCACCTCTGAATCTCTGATCATTTGGCTCTGTTGTTCACCTTATTCACCCCCAACGTACTCCATAGTCCAGACATATATACTTCGTATATCAATATATGTATGTACATGCATAAACAAATAAATAAATAAATAAATAAATGAGGCTGTGATGTGTCCTGAAGTAATCGATTGTTTGGCTTTGGAATGTTTAAGGTGCGGGGTAAGTTTTAACCATTTGGCTTGGCAGCAATTAAATTGCACTGCTGGAACCCTATGGTCCTATTCTTTTGGACTTGTTTTTAGTTCAGATCAGTTGAGAGTGAGCTCAGGTGGTTAGAGCTTTTCTCCCGATTCAAGGGGATCTTTGGACCAATTCTCCATCACCCGCCCTTGTGGCTCTCGAAACAAAGAAAAAAAAAAATACAACTTTCAGTTCAGTTCAGTACAGTACTTCAGTTCAGCTTAAAAGATACAGGGCCTAATTGTTATTGGTGTTTGGTTTCTGTGGAATTGATTGAATTGCCGCCATGGTTGAAAATTTCCCACCTCGAATGTCCTGCCAAATTGTTCGATGAAATTAAGATCTGAGCCTCCAGTTTACCCACTCACCGCCAAAGAAATCCCAAAACCAGAGGATGGATGCTACGGTAACTATAATGGTTTTTTTTGGTTATATGTAATGAGATTATTTAGGTAAATGCATGAAATTATTATTTGCATGCAATTTTTTAACGTTTACATGAGGAATGGTTTTGTATTCTTGAATTTGAGGTTTTTGGGTGTTCTATATGTTCTATATATATATATATATAACTTTTTTTAAGACTGGTTAATGTTTGGTTCATTTGTAACCTTTTATTTTGGTGCTTTTGTTCAACACAACAAATTAACTTTTTAGCTCTATTGAATAGATACAGGGTTCTGTTACATGTAGTTGTTTCACAACGTATACAATGTATTGCAGGGTTATAAGATACCATTATAGTTTATTAGTATTCGTTAATAAGCAAATATAGAGTTTATCAGTATTTTTATTATCCATCAATCTTGCTGAACTGTATGCTCATAAAGGCGGAAACTGGTGTAGGATTTAGAGGAGAAGCAGTGGTATTAATGTTGAAACATTGGTTGAACAAGTGAGGAAGGGATCTAGTGACTAGTGTAATTGAATGCTGAACAAGGTATCTTTCTGCGACGTGTTGGATGAGGGAAAGGGTCTATTGTTATTGATTGCCATTTCAGTTCACTCTGTAGATATTCTTCCTTGATTCCTCATCAGTGTGGATATAGTCAATATCAATGCTTGTTACATAGATGACTATCCAATATGATATGTGCAGTAATTGCTTGCTGAGGTATTTCATTCATTGCTTCAGATTGATATTTGGAAAGGTTTTATAGGGAGGGTTGTCTGCTCACTTGAGAGTCCAGTATTTCATTAATAACACCCCCCCCCCCCAGTCTTGGTTTATTTATTTAATCCAGAGTGTCTAAGTCTAGTTTGTTGTTATTTGAAGGAATTGCTTCGTTTGCTTAAGTTATTGTGATATCTAATGCGGTATTCATTCATTGCTTATGATCGAATTTTGGAAACCTTGTTGGTGTTTTATAGGGAGGGTTGTCTGCTCAGTCTGTCCTTGGTGTATTCATTTAATCCTGAGTGTTTAAAGTCTAGTTGGCTGATATTTGAAGTGATTGCTTCTGTTTGCTTAATCTAATGTGAGATCTCTTGATATTAACATCATGTTTTTGCATATCATTGAATGTTTAATAACTTGCTGTTCTGTATAGTACCTGTTTATGTTTTTCAGGCTATGAACATTAGATTGAGATGAACACTTGAATGGTCCTTGAAGCAAAGGAAGTTGCAATTTGGTTGTTTTGGATAGCTTTAGAAGCTTGATGCTGGTCAAGACATCAAGTGGTCATGAAAGAATTCTGCCATTTCCTGTTATGGTTTTCAACTGGGCGTGGAAACTTCAGACGAGCTCAAGTGAACAATCCCTCAGTTGCATGCTCAGAAAGTTACAGTTGGTTGTTGCACTATCATAACATGAAAGAATCACCTTGCAATGGGAAACTTTCCCGGGGATCACATCGGACTAGAGCGAGGCCTTTCACCAGCCATAGCTTAATTATACCGATATTTGTGGGATAGTCAAATTTACAGAGAGGTGACCTTAAAATAGTTGTCCTTAATTTGTCGTGGCCTCGTGGGCACCCTTGGGCATGACCTCTACTGCCTTAGCAACCTCAGAGTTGTGCAGTACGGAGGGCATTTTTTTTTTTTTTATTGAAATAATGTTCAAGATGGTGATATTATTTATGTTCATTTTTGTACAGCATGAATGGATAACTTTGATCATCAAGGGTATTGTATATTGTTTCATTTTAAATTTGTTATACTACTGTATTACACATTCTTATAATGTAGCTACCGCTTTTTTAGGATTGTTGGTTGATTACAATATTATCATTATACAAAATTCTGCTTAGCTTTAAAAGCCAGGGCAGCTTTGGAGAAGAATGAGAAAATAATTGCTCACAACGAAAGACCTTATAATGGAAATCGAACTTTGCAACCTAGTTATGAGGTCAAAATCTTAGTGTAATTTATACAAGTTGTTACATTATTAGGGGTTGTTTGGTTACAAAAAGAAAATGGGGGAAGTGGAAAATCACGAGAATTTGAAAATACATGAGTTGTTTGGTTGACAATAAAAAGTGTAAATGAGGGAATTGCAAATTCATGGGAATTGTGACTTCCCACAAAAAATGGGAAGTTAATTACCTAACCCTCTAGGTAAATCAAACTTCCCATAATTTGTAACTTCCTTCATGCCAACCAAACAACTTTATACAATTCTCATGATTTTAATGTAGGAATTTAATTTCCATGAAATACAAATTCCTATGGGAAGTAATTTCCCATAGCAACCAAACGACACCTTAGTTTAAATTGCTCACATTGAAGACGAAAAAATGATAAGCCATTTGAGAAGACCAAACAAGGAAATAGACATTAATGCCCTTATCATACTTTTCTCACACAACTAGGGGTGTTCGCGGTGCGGTTTGGATCATAAACCGCACCAAATCGCAAAAGTGCGGTTTGGTGCGGTGCGGTTTGCGGTTTAACCGTATTTTATTAAAATTGCAATTATTCTTTTTAAAACAAAACTTTTATTTTAAATTATAATTATTATTTAAATATTAAAATCTTTTTATTAACCATTAATTAACTAATTATTAGTAAAAAAATTAGCTCATACGAAATATATTTTAGTTCTTTTATATAATTTTAATAAAAATTTTATATAATTTTAATGAAAATATAGTATAAAAATCGCAAACCGCATTGCGGTTTGGTCTCAATAATTTTGGAAACCGTACTAAACCGCAAACCCCGATTTAGTCATTTTTAAAAACCGCACCGCACCAAACCGCAAAATTTTGTGATTTGGTGCAGTCTAAACCGCACTCTGTACAACCCTACACACAACCAAACTCAAGGGACAAAAATGTCCATTTACAACAACTACAGGTTTACAGACACTAATAGAAAGCAGCACAGAGCACAAGCATCATGTTTACCACTTTACCTCTTTCATGTTTACCAACCAAGAATGAGGCAGGGAGAGGCCATGGGAGTTTCCCGAGGACCGTTTTGCCCCTCTCCTTGACGGCGGTCGTCTTTTGCCGGTGATTTCTCCGACCACTTTTAAAACGGTCCTCAAGCCGTCGAATGCGGAAACCCAAACTGTCTTTATCTTTTTCTGTAAGTTGTGACAGTAACTCTGCAGTATGTGCATGCATGTTAATCTTCTCATCTCACCCTTTGCTAATAATCAATCATTAGAGGCTGTGATGAAAGAAAATCGTTCAAAGTAGTCAAATTTAATCTGGGTTTTGAGAATTTTTTTGAGGGTTTTGGCTAATTTTTCCATTTGGCTTGGCAGGGAAAAAAAAAAAAAAAAAAGAAGAAGAAGAAGAGATAATACAAGTTTATCTTCATGATATTGCAGATCAGAATGTTGGTTTTGTTTTGTTTTGTTTTGTTTTTGTTTTGGGTTTTGGTTTGGTTTGGTTTGGTTGGAAATCATTTGGGCGCAATTTGCCGCCATGGTTGATTACCCCACCTCAAAATTCTCGACCTGATTGTTTGATGAAATGTGGATCTGAGCCTCCTTTAAAAAGAGGAAGAATTGGAAGCTGCATTGTTGAAAAGGTACTACTTTACTATTCTGATTTTTTTATTGTTGTTGCTTGAATTTTGGGAATATGATGAGAAGATTATATATGATGAAAAGACATGCAATATTGGTTTGCATGAATGTATGTGATTTTAAAATTTTGATTTGAGAAAGACTTGATTTTGGGTGTGAAAGTTGTACTTTTGTTGCTACATGATATTAGTGTCATTTGCTGTTAGTCCATCTCAACCAAAAGCTTAAGCTAATGGTTGAGGCACAGGAATATGTTTTATACTTTATCATTTGCACAGTTTTAGGAAATAGAATTTTGAAGTAAAGTTTTTGGATTTTGGATTCTTGAATTGGTGAATTTTGGTGGTGAGATGGTAGGGTAATTCTGCAGTGTTGATTTTAGATCGTAAAGGCTGGTACTTTTATATAGATGATATTGGGCATTATATCAGAAGTTATGTTTATGGACTAGGTTAAATTGTACAATGACTAGTTGAGTAATATAATAGCTGCAGTTTTGATATTTGTTGCATTTGTTTTTCAGGATCTTTGTTCAACAATATAATTAGTGTAAGATTGAGGCTGGGAGAGGCCGTGGGAGTTTCTTAAGGACCGTTTGCCACTCTCTCTTGATGACCACCAGTCATCGTTAGCCGGTGATTTCTCTGATCACCCCTAAATGGCCTTATGATGAACATACAAGCCCATGAATATGAATTTCACAATCTAGTGTTAATTTAATTGTCAGTTTAGTCAATTTGGGATTTAGGCTTGATTGATTGATTGATATAATCAATTTGGGGTTCTTCTAAGGTGGATTATTGAACTATTGGTTATTATTACTGAAGTTATGAAAGATTATAATGATCGATTTATTGCAAGAATCTTGCTATGTGCCATTGATGTTGACATAATTAAACAAGAAGAATTTGATGTGATTCTTGGAGCCGTATTTGATAATTGAGTCAAATTTGGTTGCTAATGTGTTGCAAGTTGTTGTTTGTAACCCTTTATTGTAGGATGGAACTATGAAAATGGACCTTTACTTCCCTGCCCAGTGCAGCTGCCCCTCCTGCTTTAGCTCAGGGACGGGCCTGCATTTATCAGTTTTTACGGTTTACCAAGAATGAGGCAGGAGATGCTATGGGAGTTTCCCAAGGGCCGTTTTGCCCCTCTCCTTTGACGACCACCATCAGCGGCGGTCATCTTTTGCCGGTGATTTCTCCAACCACTGTAAAAACGGCTCTTAAACTGTCAAGTGCTAGAAACTTAACTGTAGAGTGCCAGAAACTTAACCGTCTTATCTGTCTGTTTGAGCTGACTGTGGAACTCTGCAGTCTGCACACATCGTTGTCTTTTTACCCTACAAACTTTATCAATCATTAGAGGCTGTGATGAGTAAACCATTCAAAGTAGTCAATCAATTTGGGTTTGGAGAATTTTTTTGAGTTGTTTGGTTAATTTCCCTTTGGCTTGGAAGCAATCAATGATGGGTCTTTTTATTTTTGATGTTTAGAGAGCCACAAGGGCGGGTGATGAGAATCGATCCTAGGATCTCTTAGGAAAGCTCTAACCACTTGTGCTATCCCCTCACTCTCATCAAATGATGGGTCTTTTGTTGTTGCAGTTGTGTCTTTGGGCTCTATTTGTTTCATCTGAAATATTCTGGACCCATCTATTTTTGTTTGCCGCCATGGTTGATTTTTCCACCTCAAAATTCATCACCAAATTGTTTGATGAAATGTGGATCTGAGCCTCCTGAAAAAAAAAAAAAAAAGGAAAAAAAAGAGCTGAAAACACAATAACCTAATCCTGCTCCACATCCAGGGGAGACAAATTTGGAAGCTAGAATTGTTGACAAGGTAATGTACTTTGTATATAATACTCAGTTCTGCATTACTTTTTTGGTCTTGTATTTTGGGAGGATTAGACGTGAAGATTATTGATGCATCCTTAAAAAGGGCCTTGATGAGCCTGCTTTTAAGAAGTGGTTGGATCCCAGGTCTCCTTTCTGCTTGTACTTTGTCTGCATTGTAAAGTTTCATATTGAAGTATCCTTCATTCTTACCTTGTATGATGTACATTTTAGGTCTTTGCCCTCACCAACTGAGCTATATCAGTATTAGTAGTAGGCAGTGCTTAACCGATTATTTGTGGATAAGTTAGTTATTTAGAAGGCAGTGGTTATTCCATTTCTACAATAATATACTCCATCACGTGTTCGATTATGTCATGCTTTTTCTGAAGTCAAAGGTCAAACTTCACAAACTTCGATCATTAATTCCTACCAATATTAGGGGGACCATAATTATATGGTATCTTGTTTGATTAGTTTCATTGTGTATTTGTATTTATCAACTTTACACTACGTAACTAAAGATTTAATTGTCACAGGTGTCTTGTTGACTGTGAAAAAGCAAACAGGAAATCCATCTGAGGGAGCTATGGAGTAGTTGCCTAGTTGGTATTGAAGGGGAGCAAGCATTTGCTATTGGCTTGGCAGTCCAACGCCCACGAGCTTTGCTTGGGTTGGCTTGCCGCCATGGTTAATCAAAGGTGTATGATCTGAGCTTACTAAAAATGTGTTTGTGTATTCATACAATTTTTGAACGATCCATTTATTATAATTAAAAGCTACCCCTTTCCCACTCGTATTTATCAAAGCAAAACTTTGTTACTAAGGGCCTGTTCTGATTTACTGCAAACAATTGAACTGAATAGAGCTGAAATGAATTGTTTATGAGAGAAGGAAATTAGGAATACCAAGAATGAGGCAAGGAGAGGCCATGGGAGTTTCCTGAGGGCCGTTTTGCCCCTCTCTCTAGACGACCACTGTAGGTGGCGGTCATCTTTAGCCGGTGATTTCTCTGACCACAGCAAAAACGGCCCTCAAACTGGCGCACGCCAGAACCTTAACTGCCTTATCTGTCTCTGTGAGATGCGACTCTGTAACTGTTGTCTGCCAGCATCTTTTATCTTCTTACTCCACAATTATCATCAACCTTAAGAGGCTGTGATGAGTGTAAACCGTTCAAAGTAGTCGATCAATTTTGGTTTGGAGAATATTTTGAATTGTTTGGTAAATTTCCATTTGGCTTGGCAGCAATCAAATGATGGGTGTTTTGTATGTTGTGGTTGTTTCTTAGGCTTTGTTTGGTTCATTTGGAATTTTTCTGGACCCAATTTGCTTGATTTGCCGCCATGGTTAATTTACCCACCTTGAAATCCTCAACCAAATTGTGTGATGAAATGTGGTTCTGAGCCTTCTAAAAAAAAACAGCTCTAGATCCAGAGGGGGAAAAATGGAAGCTAGCATTGCTGACAAGGTAATGCATATTACTCAGTTTTGCATTATTTTTGTGGTTTAAGTTTTGGGAGGATTAAATGGGAAAATTATTCATGCATCCATTAAATAGAGCCTTGATGAGGTTGCTTCTGAGCAGAAGTTAAATCCCAGGACTCCTTTATGCTTGTATCTCACCTGCAGTATAAAGTTTCATATTGTATGATGTAAGTTTTAGGCCTTTGCTCTCACCAGTCATTCAGTCAACAACTGAGCTATATCAGTATTAGTATTGAGTATTCGAAGTAATGGATCTACCTTGGGTTCATTTGTGAATGACCGGGTTATTTTAAAAGCTTCAAAGATTCCATTTTTTGTACTTCAATATACTCCCTATTTATGAGCCTCTCAATTATAGGATGTTACTTTATTTAGACTTTGAGTCCCTTCCTGATATCTAATGAAGGTTGAATTTCTCTCTCTGTATTCTTATGTAACAATGTGTGCACGTGTGAATATTGTGATGGATGTTATTGTTCAATTTGCTGATTGCAAAATGAGAGATGTTCAACTCTAGCAGGAAGGTGTTAAGGTAAGAACCAGACGGTACCCTGCTTCAGTTAATTATGTTGTTTTTTGTTGACATTTAGAAACTATAATGATTGAATTGTTATGATTTCTGTAATAGATGAAGAAGTTGATTGGCTTTGGTGTTGTTGCATATCCCAACTAATCGGGTACATTATGGTAGGGAAGTTTGCATTTTGGTGATTCTACAAATGCTTAAGATGCTCATAGTAACTTGTATGTAATTTCTTTAGTAATTCTTGCATTATTATTGTATTAATATAATATTAACATTGTCAAATAAGCATTTTGGAAACCTCCCATGTTCTGCTGTTTGTGTTCTTGCATCCATGGTAGTCTAGGCTTCCCAAATGCTTGATGAACTGATCATTTTGTATGAGAAGGCCTAAGCCTGATAGTGTATTTATGTCATCGTTAATGATTTGGACTTTGATGATTAATAGCTAAATGAGTCTTTCACTTTGACCCCCCCCCCTCTCTCTCTCTCTCTCTCTCTCTCTCTATTTGTATGTGATATTCCCTGTAAATTTTTGCTCATCATGAAAATCCCCCATAAATCTTCCTGTTATCAGTCCAATATCTTTGTACTCCTTAGTGGAGTTTTAAGCCTTGGAATGAACTTGTTATATGTTATGGCTTCGAAAATATGCTTAAATCTGGTCATTGAAGATCATTGAAACCCCTTGTGTTTTTTTTAGCTAATTATGGATTATATAAACTACCGTGTACATAGACAACATACCACCACTCTGGTAGTCTGAAATTCTGCTATGACCTCTTAACTTGTCTTTCAGGGCAGCCACATTTGTGATCAAGTGGTGGCTTTGAGATAAGATGCTGATCATAACTTTGCGTCTTTGCAGGCTCGCATACTATAAGACTTGGCGCAATCAAGTGATAGGCGACATCATCAAATGTTTTGCTTGTTCAAAGGCAAATTTAGATTTGTACTCTTACTGGTATTATTAGTATGTACTATGTAGGCAGTTAAAAGAGGCTCACATTCTGTGAGACTCAGTGCAATCAAGTGACAAGCGACAGCATCAAGTATCTTGCTGGTTCAAAGGCAACTTCAGTTTTTGTACCATTACTGATACAATTATGTAGGCACTGAAAAGTTACAACTCCATAGTGATTATTGAATGTTCTAGCATCATGTACAGACCAAAGCTTTCTTGTATAATGTATGGAGTATGAGATTGAAGAAATTATGCTGATTAATGATAATAAAGATTGATTAAATGTTGTTCAACCTTGTGCTTAATTGATTAAATATTTTCTCCGTTTTTACTAAAATTGCAACTCTTGTGACTCTTTCTTTGTAGCCAATGTAATTGCTAATTGAAGCATATCAAACCTGACACCAAGAAACAATACAATATACGAAGTAAATAAACTTTTTATGCATATTATGTGTGTAACTTGATAAAATGCGGGCGGGTGAAAATATACCACCTCCGTTACATATTATTTGCAACGATTTGACATAAAGTAAAGAGGAAAAATGTCTAATCATTGTAAATAATATGTATCGGAGGTAGTATATGAAACAATAGGTTAAGCTAAAAAAGATTTTTAAACATTTGCATGCTTTTAATTGGATTACACTTTACACCAATCAATCATTATATTTCACAAAACACTAAAAAGAAAAAAAAAACATTATATTTTACAAGGGCTTAATATTTGTACCATTTGTTTTAATTACTTTTGGAAATCTACAAAACTGGTCAAGGAAATTTGAAAGACATTAATGCCCTCATTTTGTTCATGTTCATTGACCCCAAGAATAAGGGCAAAAAGGACAATATACAAAAGGTGAAAGACAATTCCTTGGGTTCTATAAATAAGCAAATTGGGGGAAAATTAGGGTTCATACGATTGAATGAGGCAGGAAGAGGCTTGGGAGTTTCCCGAGGACCGTTTTGCCCCTCTCCCTTGATTACCACCGTATACGGCGGTCATCTTTAGCCGGTGATTTCTCCGACCACCATTATTAAAACGGCCCTCAGAACAATCCAAAAACCCAAAAAGAAAATAAAAATAAAATAAAAATTCAGTAGTAGTACTAGTAGCAGTAATTGTACCAATAATGAGGCTGTGATGATAAATTAATCGTTTAATAGTAATCAATTTTCAGTTTGGTTTTTGTGGGCATTTCTTGTTTTGGGTAATTTGACATTTGGCTTGGCAGCAATTTGATGGGAGTTTTGCATGTTGCTGGGTTGAGATTTTCTCTCTCCTCAATTGCGCATCTTTTCAGGTTTGGTTTGCCGCCATTGTTGATTTTTCCCTTGCTTGATTTGCCACACCAAATTGTTTGTTTGATGCTATGCCGATCTGAGCCTCCTTTTTCAAAATGGTTTCTTTTTTCTTTTATGTTCAGTACTCTGTATTTAGCATGATCAAAAGAATCAAATGATTTGAAGATGTTAAGATGGACAAATTTGAGGTTAAGGTTGTTGGGTATTTTGAATAGTTGAAAGTTAGATGGTAAAGTTTGGTTCTTTATGCTTGAATTTGATGAACAGAACTAGAGTGGACAATTGCAGTGATTAAATGGCAACCTGTAATTGAGATTCTGTAAATCAAATTGTGAAAAATTCGACCGAGATTCATATTATGTGTGCATTTTGTAATTGGTATGCTTGATTAAGCATATCAGTTACAAAATGCTCACATAATTTTGCAGATCATAAGTTGGCATCTACTAAATTGGGCCTAAATTAGCTTTGACAGTGGTTGAACTTGAATAAGTTGCTGCCTTGTAAGTGTTCATATGACAGTCTGAAAGTATATATGCTTATTTATCCTAGATTAAGAGAACTTCAGGCCTTTGTATAACATTGCTGGGATTTTCACTTTGCACAAGTACCTGTCGAACAAATTGCTGGCTTTAGGTAGTTTAGTATTTAGGCTGATTGCTTGATGAAAAATATTCACTTAGTGATTAGAAGTTGAGGTTTGTTGAAGAGGCGGCAACTGCAGCCCTCGTCATTATTTTGCATGTTGATTTTGTCATCAGTGATGATGGAGCTAATGATAATTAATACCCCACATTTGTCTTTTGAGATGATGCTCATTGATTTAGGATTTGTTAGTGATTGCATTAGTATTTGTTGATCAAGAATTGTGTTTGTATGTACAGTATAGTGTCATGTTTTGACAAATTGTTCAAGTTTCAAGGATTTAGGAAGGGTCGGGTTCTTTCAAATTTTCGTTTTTCACACGAATTTCACAATATATACTCCTGAATCTGTGCACAATGATTCTGTTTAGATTGTTGGTCACTCAATTTGGGCCTTGCTCTGATAATGCCATTTAAATTTTTCAACGGTCATCAGGGTCACTGATGTATCAGATTACCTATTCTCTTGTGGGATTTGGTTGCCTTTGTCCATTAAATAATTTCTCCCTTTTTTGTGAGCTCTTGTGAACAACATAGGTAGCAATTTTAATGTGCTGCTTTTTTAACCAGGCGTTAAACAGTTTGTTGCCTCGGTTTAAGAGGTTTCCATTTTCTTGGGACTAGTCTAGGTAACTGGGTCTGGCGATTGCCCATACATTCTCCTCTCTTTGAACTGGCCTTAACTTTACTCAGCCACCACAATCTCTCCCTGTAAATCCACTAACTTGTAGTGGCCTTTGTTGATTTCGTCTGATACAAGAATAATGAAGGTAGGAGAGTTTTCCATTGGATTGGCAGCTGCAAGTAAATGAGGTTTGTTTGCTCAGCCGTGGCACTGACCTTTTGTTCCTTATGTCTATAAAGTGAATCTTCAGGGCGTTTATGTTTTGTAGGATTATATGTATATGCATGCTGCATGCAGTGTATATACATAAAAATCTAAATCTAGATTATGTCTCTGGTAATATTTGGTACAAAGAAAATAAATCTAAGTCACTTATGGAACTATGAAAGTGTAGCATCAACTTCCCATCTTAGCCTTCGTGTGATTAAAAAAAAATTATAATAGTGTGAGGAGATGTTGGGACTTTAATAATCTTAACAGCGTGGAAAAGCCGTGGGAGTGTGGGCTGTTGTGATATGATTGTTGTCCCTTCATCAAGATGATCTTCATTAATTTTGGTCTTTATTTCCTGTTATTTGTCTGACAGTTGAAACTTTTGTGCTCTCATGGAGATTTGTTTGGTTCAGCATGTAGCCGTGTAGGGATAAATCACGAGTCTGTTGATAAACCAGCTATTATGTAGCAGTAGTTGCCCAAGCATAATCCAACACATCGTTGTGCTTGGCTGCTGCTGGCTGTCATCTGTTGATGTTATTTGCCTCTTTGGATTGTTTGTTTTATTTACCTGTTGCTTGTGTTGCTGTAGGTGAAATACTGATCTGAAACGGTAAAAGAAAAGGCTATCTCAGCCTACCTTGGTTTTCTGAGGTTTTGCTGGCAGATCATATCAACCCTTCAATATTGATGGGCGGTGCTTTTATGATCTATTGGGACTCGGGAGCATATAGCTCAAGTACCAGTCAACTAATACCGCGGGAACAGAGTTGGTAATCAACAAGCTTGGATTCAAGAGCTGCAGAGTATTGACATTAGTTTTATTAGTAATGCAAGTCGGGGGTTAGATTGGAGGGTTTTTTGATGTAGTTTGCTGCATTTTGTTCTCTAAGATCCTTGAGAATTTTCCTCAAGGATTATGTTGTATACAATGATGCGGAGTGCAGTACTACATTGATTTTATTCTGATTGCCTTTTGATGTAAGATAACATATCACAGCTTAATATTCTGTCAACCAAAGGTCCAAATTGCTCAATACGAGCTCCTCTAAATATATTCTAGGATGCTTACTGCTTGTGCATTAAAATGTCAATATTTGGATCATGAAATTTGCTAGCTGCTAAGAGGAGTTATTAGTGTAACTTATCGCAAACTACCATGCAGTTGCAAGAAGCCTCAGCTCAGAACTCAGAGCAGCATATACTATAGTAATCTAGTACCTTGTAGCCTAGCAAATTTTATGCACCGTTTTATCCCATCATTAGGACAATTCTTATATGGACATAATTAAATAACATGATTAGCGTAAATTACTACTTGTTGACGTTGCTACTTGCTAGTCTTGGTGTTCATAAGAAGCCTCGGAGTTGTGTTTAGTAGTCTAGTCCTCTAGTATAAGCCCTTGCACAATTTATACACCATTTCACTCAATCAATAGTAGAGTTTAATTCTAAGGACATCATCGAACACCATGATTAGTGTTAATATTACTTCCCAATATTACTAACTTTTGACCCCAGAAAAAGTTTCTACATAATCTTTCCACCTCATTAAAAATGCTAGCAGGGATCACGAAACATTGTACGGAGTATGACATAAGTTGGGATAGCTTGAGCAATAGACTTGATAAGAACTTCCCGACCAACTTGAGAAAGAAAACTACCTTTCCATCCCTTTACCTTTTTCCAAATATTGTCTTGAATAAATTGGAAAACCACATTATTAAGCTTCCTAGGTGAAGTTAAGCTAGTGAAGTAAAATACATTAATGCCCTCATTATACCTTCACTCCAAAGCATAAACCATGAGGGTAAAATTGACAATTACTTCAAATCCTCTCTTTAAAAGAGCAGAAAGGGAGCAAATTTAGGGTTCTAAGACTTCTAACGATTGACTGAGGCAGGAAGAGGCTTGGGAGTTTCCCGAGGACCGTTTTGCCCCTCTTCCTTGATCACCACCGTATACGGCGGTCATCTTTAGCCGATGATTTCTCCGACCACCGTTAAAACGGCCCTCAAAGCGGGAAATATATCTGGTATTTCTTCATTATTACTCCGTTTTTAAATACTACTCCATACTACGTACTACAAGTATATACCTCTTCTTCTTCTTCTTCTTCCCCTTTTCACCCTCAAAAAAAAAAAAAATGAAGGACCCTTTGAGGCAGTGATGAAATTGAGTCGTTTAGAGTAATCAAATTTCAATTTGGGTTTCTGGGTTTTTCTGGGAAATTGATTTTCTTTTCCAATTGGTTTGGCAGCAACTTTAGGGTTTTGTTTGCCGCCATTTGTGTAATTGATTATCTCTTTCTTGAAAATTCTCCCCCAAATTGTTTGATGACATGCAGATCTGAGCCTCCTCCATTGAAGCGGCTTCTGAGCTTTCTCTCCCTCCATTGAAGCAGTTTCTGAGTTAATATTGTATTTGTTATCATCGAATGTCAATTTCCCATTGAAGCGCACTCAACGTTCTCCATTGAATCTACTTCTGATATTTCTATCTTCCATTGAAGCAGCTTCTGAGGTTAAGTTGTTTTCTTTTTGTAATCATCGAATATCAATTTCACAATGTAGTATTTATCGTTGATTTAATACTAAGATTTATGGGAGTTTCCCGAGGACTGTTTTGCCCCTTTCCTTAAACGACCACCGTTAACGGCGGCCGTTTTTTGCCGGTGATTTCTCCGACAACCGTTAAAACTGTCCTCAGCTCTAACCAACTGTCTATCTGTCTGTAAACTGTGACTGTAACTCTGCTGTCTGCATGCAGCTTGATCATATTAACCACCAAAAATTATCAATCTTTAGAGGCTATGATGAGTTTAACTGTTCAAAGTAGTCAAATTTAATCTGGGTTTGGAGAATTTTTTTGAGGTTTTGGGTAAATTTTTCCATTTGGCTTGGCAGAAAGATCAAAGTTAGGGCCCCTTCAAAAAAAAAAAAAAAATCAAAGTTAGGGCCTGTTCTATCCAGCTTAAATTCAGTTCAGTTCAGCTCTAATTCAATCAGTTCAGTTGTTTTCAGTTAATCGGAACAGGCCCTTAGTATTCAACATGATGCTTAGCTTGCATTTTTCTCATTTATTTTATTTTATTTTATTTTGTGGGGTTGGTTCAATTGGAAATGATATGGGTTCGATTTGATTGATTTGCCGCCATGGTTGAATTCCCACCTCGAAATTTTCCACCTGATTGTTTGATGAAATGAGGGTCTGAGCCTCCTTCATTGAAGTGTACTCTGAATTCGCTATTGAAGCCTCTTTTTGAGCTATCTCTCACTCTGTACTTAATTGAGGCGTACTGTGAATTATCTATTGAAATCAGTTGTGAGTCTTGTGACTTTAGGCTGTTCTATTCAGCTTAATATCAGTTCAGTTGTTTTAAGTAAATCGGAATAGACCCTTTGTGAGTTTTCTCTCCTCTATTGAAGGAGCTTAGAGCAAGGGTGATATCAGCAATTTGAATCTTAAGACATATGCTCAAGACTTTTCCCATTTTTCATGAAAAATCTCAAGCAAGTCTCAAGTCTCAAGTTGAGTCTTGAAATTTCAAGACTCAACTTAAGATTTGAGATTGGGACCCACTTCACCCACCTCACTTTTATTTTTATTATCCCTTTTTTTAATTTTATACTTTTCTACTTATAATATGTCAAATATTTAATCTTAGGGCTAAAGTGATAAATTTGTGTAAGTCTTAGTGAGTCTTAATAAGAATTTGACGACATCATTTTCAATGGGGACCACCAAAAATGATGTCACATCCAAGTCTTAAGACTTGGGGCTAAACTTGCTCTTATTAGGTAAGATGTTTTTCTTGATCAGCGAATATCAGTTTCATCATAATCTAGGGTTTATAGTTGATTAATTCCAAGAATGAGGCAGGGAGAGATCATGGGAGTTTCCGAGGACCGTTTTGCCCCTCTCCTTAGAGGACCGTTGCTTACAACGGTTGTCTTTCGCCGGTGATTTATCTGGACACTATTAAAACGGTCCTCAAACCATCGATGCCAGAACCTTAGCTGCTTTTATCTTTCTCTGTGAGCTGGGACTATGTAAGTCTGCTGACTGCATGCTCCTTGATCTTCCAACCTCAAAAGTCACCAACCATTAGAGGCTGTGATGAGTGTAAACCATTCAAAGTAGTCAAAATTTAATTTTGGTTTGGAGGATTTTTGAGGTTTTGGGTAATTTTTTTCATTGGCTTGGCAGAAAGATCAATATTCCGAAGTTGCAAATAATATGATGCGGAGGGTTTGTTTTATGGTTTGGTTTTGTTTGGTTGGAAATTATTTGTCCCAATATGATTGATTTGCCGCCATGGTTGATTTTCCCACCTCAAAATTCCCCACCGGATTGTTTGATGAAATGTGGATCTGAGCCTCTTGTTTGCAAAAAATAAAAAGGAAGCTGCATTGTTGAAATTTGGTAATACTTTTACAATTTTACATTTTTTTTAATTGTTTGTTGTTTTGTGAGTATATGATGTGAAGATTATATTGATAAAAAGACATGAACTGTTTGATGCATGGAATTTTGATTTGAGAAAGTTTTGAAAATAGAAATTGAATCGTAAGTAATCAAATTCAATTTGGGTTTTCTGGGAAATTGATTTTCTTTTCCAATTGGTTTGGCAGCAACTTTAGGGTTTTGTTTGCCACCATTTGTGTAATTGATTTTCTCTTTCTTGAAAATTCTCCCCCAAATTGTTTGATGACATGCAGATCTGAGCCTCCTCCATTGAAGCGGCTTCTGAGCTTTCTCTCACTCCATTGAAGCAGTTTCTGAGGTAGTATTGTTTTTGTTATCATCGAATGTCAATTTCCCATTGAAGCGCACTCAACGTTCTCCATTGAATCTACTTCTGATATTTCTATAATCCATTGAAGCAGCTTCTGAGGTTAAGTTTTCTTTTTGTAATTATCGAATATCAATTTCACAATTTAGGGTTTATTGTTGATTTAATACTAAGATTGAGGCAAGGAGAGGTTATGGGAGTTTCCCGAGGACAGTTTTGCCCCTCTCCTTAAACGGCCACCATTAACGGCGGCCGTTTTTTGCCGGTGATTTCTCCGTTAAAACTGTCCTCAGCTCTAACCAACTGTCTATCTGTCTGTAAACTGTGACTGTAACTCTGCTGTCTGCATGCAGCTTAATCATATTAACCACCAAAAATTATCAATCTTTAGAGGCTATGATGAGTTTAACTGTTCAAAGTAGTCAAATTTAATCTGGGTTTGGAGAATTTTTTTGAGGTTTTGGGTAAATTTTTCCATTTGGCTTGGCAGAAAGATCAAAGTTAGGCCCTGTTCTATTCAAGCTTAATTTCAGTTTAGTTCAGCTCTAATCCAATCAGTTCAGTTGTTTTCAGTCAATTGGAACAGGCCCTTAGTATTCAACATGATGCTTAGCTTGTATTTTTCTCATTTATTTTATTTTATTTTATCTTGTGGGGTTGGTTCAGTTGGAAATGATATGGGTTTGATTTGATTAATTTGCCGCCATGGTTGAATTCCCACCTCGAAATATTCCACCTGATTGTTTGATGAAATGAGGGTCTGAGCCTCCTTCAATTAAGTGTACTCTGAATTCGCTATTGAAGCGTCTTTTTGAGCTATCTCTCACTCTCTTCTTAATTGAGGCGTACTCTGAATTCTTTATTGAAATCAGTTGTGAGTCTTGTGACTTTAGGCTGTTATGTTCAGCTTAATATCAGTTCAGTTCAGTATTTCAGTTCAGTTGTTTTAAGTAAATCGGAATAGACCCTTTGTGAGTTTTCTCTCCTCTATTGAAGGAGCTTATGAGGTAAGATGTTTTTCTTGATCAGCGAATATCAGTTTCATCATAATCTAGGGTTTATCGTTGATTAATTCCAAGAATGAGGCAGGGAGAGGTCATGGGAGTTTCCGAGGACCGTTTTGCCCCTCTCCTTAGAGGACCGTTGCTTACAACGGTTGTCTTTCGCCGGTGATTTATGTGGACACTATTTAAACGGTCCTCAAACCATCGGATGCCTGAACCTTAGCTGCTTTTATCTGTCTCTGTGAGCTGGGACTGTGTAACTCTGCTGACTGCATGCTACTTGATCTTCCAACCTCAAAAATCACCAACCATTAGAGGCTGTGATGAGCGTAAACCATTCAAAGTAGTCAAATTTAATTTGGGTTTGGAGGATTTTTGAGGTTTTGGGTAATTTTTTCCATTGGCTTGGCAGAAAGATCAATATTCCGAAGTTGCAAATAATATGATGCGGAGGGTTTGTTTTATGGTTTGGTTTTGTTTGGTTGGGAATTATTTGTCCCAATATGATTGATTCGCCGCCATGGTTGATTTTCCCACCTCAAAATTCCCCACCGGATTGTTTGATGAAATGTGGATCTGAGCCTCTTGTTTGCGAAAAATAAAATGGAAGCTGCATTGTTGAAAATTGGTAATACTTTTACAATTTTACATTTTTTTTAATTGTTTGTTGTTTTGTGAGTATATGATGTGAAGATTATATTGATAAAAAAATATGAACTGTTTGATGCATGGAATTTTGATTTGAGAAAGTTTTGATAATAGAAATTGAATCGTTTGAAGTAATCAAATTCAATTTGGGTTTTCTGGGAAATTGATTTTCTTTTCCAATTGGTTTGGCAGCAACTTTAGGGTTTTGTTTGCCGCCATTTGTGTAATTGATTTTCTCTTTCTTGAAAATTCTCCTCCAAATTGTTCGATGAAATGCAGATCTCAGCCTCCTCCATTGTAGCTCACTCTGAGTTCTCCATTGAAGCGTGTTCTCCATTGAAGCGGCTTCTGAGCTTTCTCTCATTCCATTGAAGCAGTATTTGAGGTAATAATGTTTTTGTTATCATCGAATGTCAATTTCCCATTGAAGTGCACTCCATTGAATCGACTTCTTATATTTCTATAATCAATTGAAGCAGCTTCTGAGGTTAAGGGCCTATTCTTATACGTTTATTTTCAGCTTAGTTCAGCTACTAATTTCCTTCTCTTATAAAATATTCATTTCAGTTCAGCTCTGTTAAGTTCAGCTGAGTTCAGTCTATGAGAACAGGCCCCAAGTTGTTTTCTTTTTGTAATCATCAAATATCAATTTCACAATCTAGGGTTTATCGTCGATTTAATACTAAGATTAAGGCAGGGAGAGGTTATGGGAGATTCCCGAGGACTGTTTTGCCCCTCTCCTAAAACGATTGCCGTTAATGGTGGCCTTTTTTTTGCCGGTGATTTCTCCGACAACTGTTAAAACTGTCCTCAGCTCTAACCAATTGTCTATCTGTCTGTGAACTGTGACTGTAACTCTGCAGTCTGCATGCAGAATTACAGTCAAATTATCCATCTTTTGAGGCTATGATGAGATTAACTGTTCAAAGTAGTCAAATTTAATCTGGGTTTGGAGAATTTTTTTGAGGTTTTGGGTAAATTTTTCCATTTGGCTTGGCAGAAAGATCAAAGTTAGGGCCTGTTCTATTCATCTTAATTACATTTCAGCTCAGCTTTCTAATCACTTCAATTCTTTTCAGCAAATCGGAACAGGCCCTTAGTCTTCAACATGATGCTTAGCTTATTTGTGGTGTTGGAAATGATTTGGGTCCGATTTGATTGATTTGCCGCCATGGTTGATTTCCCACCTTGAAATTTTCCACCTGAGTGTTTGATGAAATGAGGATATGAGCCTCCTTCATTGTAGTGTACTTTGAATTCTCTATTGAAGCGCCTTTTTGAGCTATCTCTCACTCTCTCCTTCATTGAAGCGTACTCTGGATTCTCCATTGAAATGGGTTGTGACTTTGTGAGTTTTCTCTCCTATTGAAGGAGCTTCTGAGGTAAGATGTTTTTTTCTTAGTTAGTGAAAATCAGCTTCATAATCTAGGGTTTATCGTTAATTAATACCAAGAATGAGGCAGGGAGAGGTCATGGGAGTTTCCCGAGGACCGTTTTGCCCCTCTCCTTAGACGACCATTGTTTTACGATTGTTGTCTTTCGCCGGTGATATATCTGGATACTATTAAAACGGTCCTCATACCATCGGATGCTAGAACCTTAGCTGCTTTATCGGTCTCTGTGAGCTGTGAGCTGTGACTGTGTAACTCTGCTGACTGCATGCTCCTTGATCTTCCAACCCCAAAAATCACCAACCATTAGAGGCTGTGATGAGTGTAAACCATTCAAAGTAGTCAATTTTAATTTGTGTTTGGTGAATTTTTTGAGGTTTTGGGTAATTATTTCCATTGGCTTGGCATAATGATTAAATATTCCAAAGTTGCAAATAATTTGATACGGAGGTAGTATTATTTTTGTTTTGTGGTTTGGTTTGGTTGGAATTTGGAAATTATTTGTCCCAATGATTGATTTGCCGCCATGGTTGATTTTCCCACCTCAAAATTCTCCACCGGATTGTTTGATGAAATGTGGATCTGAGCCTCTTGTTTGATTAAATGAATAAATAAAAAATAGAAGCTGCATTGTTGAATTTTGGTATTACTTTTACAATTTTACATTATGCTTTTAATTGTTTGTTGTTTTGAGTGCATATTATTTGAAGATTATATTGATAAAAAGACGTGAAATGTTTGATGTATGTGATTTTGGAATTTTTAATTGAGTAAGTTTTGAAAATAGAATTGAGTACTATGTGTTGGGAAGGAGAGAATGGTTGATTATTGAAAGGGGAAGCTTCTGCTATTGGCTTGGCTGCACAAAGCCCATCAGCTCTGCTTGGTTTGCTGCCTTTGTATTGAGCTTACACCCAATCAAAGGTGTATCTAAGCCTGTCTATCAAACACGCAACCTTCTGATTTTCACTCCAAAGCTCTACAAGTGAGTTTTTTTTTTTTAACTTTTCATATCCTAACATGTCCTTGGTTTTCATGGCAACATCTTGTAAACAATTATTCTTTTTTAGGGGATATGTTTCCATTTTTTACACCAAGGCTTTGTTTTTGTTAGTTTTGGTGAAGACAATTGATGTAATGCTTCCTGAAATGTAGGTGTGGATTTTATGGGATAAGAGGGCGAAGCTGAGTTTTGTATCAACTGGACTTGAGAGTTTCCAGTTGACAAAGATAGACACGAAGCTTGTGAGTATAGTGTCATTTGAAAAACTAATTGTGATGGCTATTTTTAGACTAAAGGAATGTCTTTTTACCTCTAAAATTTTAATTTGTCTAGTCTTATTTTTCTGAACTGAATTTATCAGAACTTGCACGAGCTTAATTAGATGTGGAACTGATTTTCTTTAGGTGAAAAGAACAAGATTGCGGTAATCAGGATACAAGAAAAGGCCTGGAGGGCTGGAGGGTGTTGCATGTGCTTGGCAGGGCAGCATATGGAAACTCTTAACTTGAGTTTTGCTTGCTTTGCTGCCATTGATTAATTAGTGTCTTTCATTGCCTGATGAAGGGCAAATCTGAGCCTCGTTTCTCCCTTTTTTGAAATAAAAAATAATTGTTTCAGGGGGTGGCAGAGGTAGAGGTATTACCACTAGTTTCCGTGTGACGTAATATTTAAGGCAAAGTGGGGTTGCTATTACTACTGTGCTACGATATCAACTTTACCCTAGAGAGCCTCTCCCCTCATGGCAAGGCAAAGTGGGGGGTAGGAGGTTTTGCAGCTGTGTACTACACCATGATAGCAGAGCGGTATATTTCTATTCACCTTCGATCAAAACTTGGCACCATACTAGTGTTGCATGCTGTATTGATTTGCCAGCAAAATACTGCTACAGTGCTACTATGGAGCTGCCATCATCTTCAAATTGTGGCATGGGGATCAGCCGATCAGGTGAAAATAATGAAGTCTTACTTTCTTCATGATTCAGTTTTATTGGTTCTAATCTTTTGGAGGAAAAAACTTGGAACGTACCCCTCATCTGGATCTCACATTCGGGGCCTTACTGTTTGCAGCTGAAACAAATTGGCATTTTAACTTTAAGCGTTCAAGGGGTGATCAAGACACCAAAAAGAACAACTCCAACACGAACGTAGCTTATAGTGTTAGCACCACCGGCTCGTATCAAAATAATCGACTACTCAAGTGGCAGCAATTTAATTTTTTGTTTATTATACCCTAAGCCTTTTGAAATTGTTTTGTACTCTGTATATAACTATTTCTCTATTATTAAAATTGCTCAACTGTGTAGTAATATTGTTGGTTAATAAGACAATTACTCTTGTTTTGCTATTGTGTTAAGCAAAGTTACTTGATTGTGTCAACTTTAGAGGTAATGAAACCATGCACTAACAAGCACTTTAAGGTATTGACTGTTGAGTGAAGATGAACATTTGTGGAAAAATGCTCGTTAACATTACACATTGACATTATTAAATCGATCCTAGGTAGGTAATTGTGCACTGCTAATATACCTGAGGGTGTTGATTAATCCAAGTTATCACTATCTCAATAAAACTAAGCAAGAAAATAAAAACTTATTGACTTAACCTAACTAGAGATTTGGCCTCATAACTTTATGATCATGAAATCAAACCTCATCTAGGGATCCTCTAATTTTGGATCTTTTTACCTTAATAAATTTGAGCAACAAAACTAGACTAGTGTTAGAAATTCAATAATACATCCAGTCATCCACCATTTTTTTTTTTTTTTTTTTCTTTTACTTTCCCGCTGCCATTCACTTAAGTTATTGATTCCATTTTTAAGAAAAAAAATTAGCTGAGTAGAGTCTCAATTGTACATAACTAATGATATTTTTATTGAAGTTATAAATGGACAAACGCATCTAAAGAAAATGTGTCAACTAATATTATTCAGGGGAAGTATATGTTTGAGTCAAATAGTATTATTATTCGTGTTCATGTTTTTATATAAAATCATACATTAACAAATACACCTAAGGAAATTCCGTTAATAACTAGTATAAAATCGAAGAAAGTATATGTTTGAATCAAGTAAAGTCATTCTCATTGCTTACTTTTAAAAGATCCTAAACAAAGAGGGCAAAAGTGACAATAAACAAACAAATGAAAAAAAAGCAATACATCATCATGAATTGATGAAATGAAACCAAAGCACACTATAAGAAAGAAGAGAAGCCGCAAAAAGTAGGGTTCCTATCATTAGTTTAAGAATGAGGCAGGGAGAGGCCGTGGGAGTTTCCCGAGGACCGTTTGCCACTCTCCCTCGATAACCCACCACCGTTCACGGCGGTCGGTAATCTTAAGCCGCTGATTTCTATAAACCCAATCAAACGGTCCTCAATCATCATCATCATCATCATCATCATCATAATATACATATATATATAGTACTTCGTAATAACAATAATAATACTACCTCCGTTCCTTGAGGCTATGATGCTATCAAATCGCTCAAATTAGTCATTTTCAGTTTGGTTTTTGGAGGTTTTTATCGTCAAGGTTTTGGTGAGGTTCATTTCCATTTGGCTTGGCAGCTACCTGTTATGGGTTTCATTTGCCGCCATGGGAGTTGACCTTTTATCTAACCTTGATGGATTAATTACTTCCACCAGATTGTTTTTGATGAAATGGCAGATCTGAGCCTCCTTCCCCAACAAATTTTTATTGTTTTTTTTTTTTTTTTTTTTTTTTTGGTAATTTTAGTAAAATTCTTTCAATAAAAAACTTTTAGTTTTTTTTTTTTTTATTTTGTTATGAGATTAGGACATGAAAATTTTGGCTTTTCAAATCCCAAAATATGTGCAAGAACACTTTCTTGATTTCTTTTTTCTTTCTCTTTTGTGGAAAAATTAAAACAAAACTGTGTTGAATTTCTTAAATTGGTAAAATAAGATGTAAGATTTTAGGGTTTTGCTGATTTGTTGAGTATGGCATTAAAAAACTAAATGGAAATTGGTAAGAGTAGTGTTTAAGCTTGAATGCAAGCTTAATTAGAGGCGAATTACACTTCTGATGACAAATGACTAAACTACAATTTGAATTCCCTGAATATTGAGAATAGCTTGATTTTTTGTTCAAGGTTTTTCACTCCATCTAATAACTTAATATTGGCAACTACTTAAATGTTACTGTGATAAATCGAAAATAGTGCATACAAAAACTTCATATACTCTCATCGTTCACAACAATGCAAATCCCTGAAAATGATAGTGCAAATTGGACTCAGAATTCATATTACAGAAGGATATATAATTCCTGTTTTTGACAAATGCTGTTCGTTTATTCATTAACCTGGATCGATTATCAGAGTTACAAATGTGCCTCATATGGATTTTAAAAAGATGAGTTATTCTAAATCACACAGCTTAGACACCTAATGACTTAATGGAGCTTCCAATTAGACCTTCAATTCTTCAGCGCTCGGCTCCAATGGCTCAAAAAGGGTCTCCACTTCTTGTGCATTGACTTCCTCAACACTAGGTGGCTTCCACTTTGGATTCTGCAAGTAATAAGTATATCATCTATGTTAGAGACAGAACAATCTATCCTCATTGACTGGTGTCTGGTGGTGCAGCACTTGCAAACTTGCAGATTGTGTAATAAACAACATAATTCGAATGAATAAAAGTACAGACCTGATCCTTGTCAACCAAGACGGCACGGACACCTTCAGCAAAGTCTTCTCTCAGAGAAGATCTAAGAGCAATTCTATACTCCAGTTTCATCACTCCACTCAACTACATATCAAGGAACAAAGGGGAGAGCAAAAATTAGATTTGCACCAAGTATGCATATTAAATTTGAATGAGAAACTTCTTACTCACTTTTGATAAATTAGCATCGTTACTTCTGAGGCCTGATGCAACTTTAGCAAAGTATTTTTGCGTTAAGCTGAGAGAGAATGGAGCTCCTTTGCCAAGCCCTTCCAAGGCCTCCTTGGCCCATCCAGCCACTACTCATCAAAACACAATAATTCAAGAGAGGGAACATTTGACCCAAAAGGATTACAGGAAGGTGAACAAACATATGTACAAGATGAACGTTGACCTCCTCCATTAATCACAAAAGAAAAAATGCTGTAGAAAAAATAAGTAGCTTACCTACGCCATCAGAGCTTTGTTGATGCTTTTTTAATTCTTCAATTATCTCACTGATTGACTTGTTTGCATCAAAGGTAGAAGTAATATGGGGCAAGAGTGCCTTCAGCTGTGGCTCAGACTCTGGCTGGGAGCTGTATTTTGACACTAGTGTCGCTATGTCCTGGTCAGGATCCTCTGAACTGTACAATTTTTTGAGAAAACAAAATACATAAATGAGTTTAAAACATGACTAGCATGTGTACTTCAGAATAACCTTACGTAATTTTCAGATTTAAGCTCAACAATGATGCCAAAAGATATTGAAGGATCAGAAGACACCAGTGAGGACTGAGGAGTTACATAACTAAAAACAGAGGCTTTAACAGATTCAGTTAGTCAAGTGGTCAGAACTCATAATCATGCATGCATAGTACACATGCAGCAACTCATGAAAGTAGATTGTGAGAATAATTCCAACTCTTAAGACTTGCCAGATAAACAAACATATAAAGCTTCAAAAATAAGTGAACAAATTTAAAAGGCAGTCTCTACATACAATGTAGACGCCAACAATGATTCCTTCAAGGAACCAAGGTTTCCTGAAGGCACATAGTGCGTTCCCAGGCCAACATATAAAGCATCAGCTGGATTAGATATTCTTTTACCAGTCATCCCAAGATAAGCACCTGCAGAAATAAATTAAGATTGAAGTCATAAATAAAGCAACAGTGGAATGGATAAGAAGCAGATGTAATAGGAACAGATATAGACATCAGAGAATTTATGTGCTTCTTGATTGAATTAACAGCACTTGTTACATTGGGACTCTAACAAAAGTTGAGAGCCAAAAGCTCAAAAAATGTGCAGAAGTTTCATTGGGCCATTTTAAGAAACACTAGATGCAGCCTTTTCTCATCATTTTCATCATTCTAATTACTTGACCCAAGGTGCTAGTGAAATAATGAGTAGCAAACAAACTTACCAACTGATCCTTCTCCAGGACTTTTTGCAGCTATGTATGAGAACCCCACATCAGGAAACAAACCAATGCCATTTTCTGGCATAGCAAGAAGAGTTTTCTGTAACAGCAGTGCAGAAAAATGTTAAATTTATATAACTGCATTAATTTCAAGAGATTCAGTATTAAAAAGCCAATAAGATATAACAGTACCTCTGTCACAATGCGGTAACGGCCATGTCCAGATAACCCAATACCAAAACCCATAGTTATGCCATCCATTAAACTGATGTAAGGCTTTTTGTACTCAGATATCTTGCATATCAAAGTATACTCTGCAGTGAATATCTGCCAAGACATACAGCAAAATAAGCAAAAGACAGCTAAGCAGCTTACTACAAAAAAAGCACGAGGAAAGCCAGAATCAACAGCATTACAGCGTAGTCTATGTTTGGAATTCAAGTGCATGATGTATATGTCATATATTAGCACACACAGACACTTGAAATATGATAGAACTGGAGATTGGAGGAAATGACATAGCAGGTCAATTTTACGAGAATAATGACATCCCCTCGGAAAAGTAGTACCACCACCAGGTCAATAAGGGAAGTCCAGATAATGTAGCTCCAAACACTGTAATTTCACTTGCAACACATCTGATTACACACACACACACGCACGCACGCACACACAGAGAGAGAAATATATCTAGTGCATGCTGTTCTTAATGTTTATTATTCAATAAATTCATTTACATCAGGATGCTGAATATCTGGCAATTATCTTTGGTTACATTCTTACATACATACAGTGAGAGAGAATCAATTTCAATGTTACTATTTAAAAGTTTTTGGGCCTACTATGTAGCTTCGACAATATCATAGATCATAAAACAAGTTAATACAAATAGGAAACACACAAGACCTCAATCACATCTGCTAATTTGTTTTTTGTAATGATCTGCTTCACATCACCACCTGCAGATTAACTGGTATTTCAGGTTATAAATCCAGAGGAAACATCAGTTTTAATTCAGTATAAGCAATTTCTTAAACATAAAACCAGAGAAAACATATAAGAGTATCGAAACCATCAGCAGCATTTAATCATCATTGTCCCCAAAAGAGGACCCTGATGTTGCAAGAAAATTAATTTCAGAGAAATAAGAAACCTTCTGAACAAGAGGTGTGCTTTTATCCTTCTGAATTTCGGCAACAACACCTTTAATATCCATTCCTGCATTTCGAACGAATAGGTCACCTTATAACCTTACCAATTGCTCTGAAACTTGGGGATGTAACCATAGAGCAACTATCATAGTTAGAAATTGAGCTCATAAAAGCAGATGCTAGACATAAAAGAAAGGGAGGGGGGTGAATAATTGAAGAAGTTGTACTGAGTTCACATCAATTACCAGCACAAAATGCTCGAGGTGCACTACCCTCAATTAGAACACATTTCACTCTTGGATCTTCTTCCCATTGATCAAGGAAGCTTTTGTACTTAATGTCCATATCTGCAGCAAAAGGTATCCTTCATTATAATACAAAGCACATTAATACCATATAAAGCCAATTAAGTACATCTTAAATTCTTAATACTTGTGTAGCTCATAAATTGGCCAATAAAATAATCAAAAATAGATCATTTTGGCAAAAATATTATAGGGCATATATATGTAGCTCAAATAACACTTGAGTAACCAAGGTTATTAGATTTGCACTTATGCTCCTTTTTTTTTACACAATTTCATGAGCATCATGGAATTCAGATTGTGATGAGTAAGGAAACAACAATAATATTCGATTGGCATAAAGAATAGTAATGATTGATTGTAATCTTCAAGTTCAAAGCTCAGGCAAACTATAATAAGGATTCTACTTCAGTGTATTGCAATGTTTTGGCCTTCATTTTGTGCCAAATTCCCAGTTATGTCCAAATGTTGATTGTAACATTATAAAAAAAAAATAAAAAAATACAGCAAGTTAGTTACATAACCCTTAGAAGATCAGAGACTTCCGCAATAAGGACGGTGAACACAATGCCAAAGCTTACAGTTACGAATCCTGATATCATAATAAGTGCATGTCCAAATGGTGATGCTGCTAATGCACACAGGCATGTCCTAGGCAAGGGGCATGAGTACAGGACATGTGCACAAGGACAAGGCATTAAACATCCTATTCTTTATAAAAACACCTATTTTTCGCAATTAAGGTAGCGTCTTGGCTTGCCTTAGCCCAATGCAAGGCCTAGGGAGACAAGAAATCTCAAGGCCAAGCCAAGGATGAAGGATCTCAAGACATCTTAAGGTATGATGACAAGACACCAAGTAGGCATCTCAAGACATCATAAGGCATCTATGAGATAATTCCAGACACCTAGTGCGCCTCTCAGGGCCCTTTGGGAACCCTATGAAGGACCTTGATTCATAGTTTTGTCGGGTCTTAACAATGTTTGGTGAAAGCCTGAAGGCTATAATTCATGAAATCGGGCCAATTTTATAGGTTTTCGGAAGATTTTAGGGGAAGTACCTCGGGATCATATAATGTTGTTTGGACACATATATGACTACTAGTAGGTCATATAGAGTCTTGTGGCCTTGAATTAATGAAGGAAGACGTAGGTTGTAAATGACTAAATTGGCAGTTCAAAGGATAAGTGGATGGTTCATTGGTTCCAAAGTGTTCCACCATTAATGGCCTCCTAGAGTGTCACCCCGACCTATTTTCTTTCCGGGCTTGGAAAATTCGAAAATTATCCAAAACTAAAGGCTATAATTCATGCTTTGGGTCAATTTTAGGAAAAATTTTCAAAGTTGAAATAAATGCATGGGGTGTCTCTCGGAGTCATATAAGTCAGTTTGGAACCATAAGTGGCCTATCAACATCTCTTTAAAGTCCCGAGAATGAGTTTGCTCTATTTTTGGAATTAAATTGCATTAGCAATCAAGAGCTGTAAGAGATCGTTCTTTGTTTGAGTAAACATCTTGGCATTTCAGGGTCCTATTGAGGTGTTCTTGGGCTATAAATTACACCCGAACTCATTACTTATCTAATAATTTTAGGTTAACAAACAAGAGGACCTAGAATAGTAGATAAACGGCATAAACCAGACAATTCACAATATCAACACCGTAAATATTTCACCATCAAGCATGGATTCATTACATTTTCACATCGAAAATTGACGAAATCTTAAGAGTACAGTTTAAAGAAATAATTATCATCCAACAACCGTCCATCCATCAAAATCAAACCAATTCATTTCATTTCAATGCATTCTCACACTTCCATCCTACACTAACAACCATCCCGAAAAATTACCTTAACCTCTCACAATTCAGTCATCATCACTTTAAAATACATCAATTAACATTTCTAACTTAAAATTCAATCTCTCCAGCTCATAAACACCTAAAAATTTAATTCCAGTTCTAAATTAGATAACCAAATAGTAAATTCGAGCAGATTCAATCATTAAACGATAATTAATTCGAATAAATCAAATGTGAATTAATAATTGATTCAATCTTTCCAGATGATATACACTAAAATTTCAATTCCAACTATAATTTAGATAATTAAGATTAAATTCGAGCAAATTCAATTAAAAAAATCAACTGAAAAGCATTAAACTGATAATTGCAATTAATCAGCTACTTAAATTCGAATATAACAAAAGTGAATTACAGAGTAATTATTACAAAATCAAAGAGTTGAAAGGGGGGAAAATGACCTAAATTCATGGCGTTTAGAGCTTTAGGACGATCAAGAGTGATGACGGCGACGCCATTGGGATGAACGTTGCCCTTGACGAATTCATCAGCAGCAGAAGCGGAAGCCATGATCGAGAAGCTTCGAGGAGAGAGAGATGAGTGAAGAGTTGCAAATGGAAGATAATTTGCGGATAAAAGGGAAGAAGAAGGTGATCGATTAAGGAAGAATCGAGAAAGATCTAAAATCTTCAGCATTTGACGAATTTCAATTTGTAATGTAAAACAAAGAAAAAATGAGTGGAGTGAGTGTGGCTTTGTGTGTGGGTGTCGATTGTTTGTGTTTTGTGAGTGTGACTTGATGTCCTAACTCCGATAGCCCGATTTTCACTATTTACAGCAGTGTAAATTTTGTTTTCCCAAGGCAACTGAAAAAATCGAATTCGCCCCAACCTTGAATTCGGATTTTCGAAGGACGCGACCCCTAACCCACGGGTAGGAAAGTTCGAAAAGCTAAGGAAGCAAGGCAAGCATCAGCTTATATCCTAAAAAACTTGGACTCTACTTTTTTGCACACTTAATGTCAATTTACTTTTTCAATATACTTTATTATTCTTATTTGTATTTATTAATTCCCGTGAAAAAATATCCATAAGAAACTATCAATAGGGGAAGGAGAGAGTAAAAATTATAACAAAATTATATTATGAAACTAGACATTATGACGAATCTAATGATATATTATACTACCTCCGATTTTTTTTAGTTGCAACATTTATTTATTTTATAGAGGTAAAAAAAACCAAGTCAACCATGATATGTGAATAGTGCAAAAATCAAAGTAATACATTTATAAAACGGAGGGAGTATTTGTTTAAAATTACCCATAAGTTATGAAACGTTTGGGTAACACTACCCACTAACGTTTTCCATCCTATTAACACCTTTTTTCGCCCGAAAATAAAAATTTCCGAATTTTTTACAATGGTCCTTAATACCCTCCAGTAGTCCAATTGGGTGGGTGAAACCATCCTATTTGCCTTTAAGCGACCAATTAACCGGTTTTCAACTTGCACCGATTTCATCAACTCAAGCCTACCACGACCATTTATGACAACAAATAATGATCATATATGGTTCCGAATGACATTTATATGACCATGAGATGTATTCCCTAGAATCTCAAGACTTTTCGATACTGGGCCCCGAAACCTCCAAATTTTCTCAAAAAGTGTGGATATTAGCCTTTAATTTTGGATTTTTAGACTTTTTTCGCCATGAAATAATAATTGCTGAAATGTTTACCATGGTCTCTAATATCCTTCGGGAGTCCAATTGGGTGGGTGGAACCATCCAATTTGCTATTAAACGGCCTATTTACCGGTTTATAACTTGCAACGATTTCATTAAATTAAGCCTACCACGAACATTTATGACAAAATATAATGGTCATATAAGACTCCAAAAGTCATTATATGACTCCGAGATGTATTCCCTAAAATCTCAGGACTTTTCGACACCGTGCCCGAAACCTCCAAAATTTCTCAAAAAGCGTGAATAATAAGCCTTCAATTTTGGAATTTTTTGACTTTTTTTTCGCCCGGAAATAAAAATGGCTGAAATTTTTACCATGGTCCCTAATAACCTCTGGGAGTCCGATTGGGTGGGTTGAACTATCCAATTTGACTTTAAACGGCCAATTTACCGGTTTACAACTTGCACCGATTTCATTAAATCAAGCTTACCACGAACATTTATGACAACATATAATAATCATAAATGGCTCCAAATGGCATTATATGACCCCGAGTTGTATCCCCTAAAATTTTAAAACTTTTTGACACTGGGTCCCGAATCCTCTAAAATTTCTCAAAAAGCGTGGATATTAGCCTTCAATTTTGTAATTTTTTACTTTTTTTCGTCCGAAAATAAAAATTGCCGAAATGTTTACCATGGTCACTAATAAACTCCGGGAGTCCAACTAGGTTGGTGGAACCATCCAAATTGCCTTTAAACAGCCAATTTATCGGTTTACAACTTGAACGGATTTCATTAAGTCAAGCATAATACGAACATTTATGTCAACATATAATGATCATTTATGGTTTCAAACGCCATTATATGACCCCGAGATGTATCCCATAAAATATCAAGACTTTTCTACATTGGGCCCTGAAACCTCCAAATTTTTTTAAAAAACGTGGATATTAGCCTTTAATTTTGGAATTTTTTGACTTTTTTTCGCCCGAAAATAAAAATTGCCGAAATGTTTACCATGATCCCTAAGACATTTTGGGAGTCCAATTGGGTATGTGGAACCATCCAATTTGTTGTTAAACGACCAATTTACCGATTTACAATTTGCACCGATTTCATTAATTCAGGCCTACCACGAACATTAATGACAACAAATAATGATCATATATGGTTCCAAATAGCATTCTATGATCCCAAGATGTATCCCATAAAATTTCACAACTTTTCGACACCGGGCCCCGAAACCTCCAAAATTACTCAAAAAGCGTGGATATTAGCCTTCAATTTTGGAATTTTTTGACTTTTTTTGCCCGGAAATAAAAATTGTCGAAATGTTTACCATGGTCCTTAATACCCTACTGTGTGGAACCATCCAATTTGATGTTAAACGGCTAATTTACCGGTTTACAACTTGCACCAATTTACCAGTTTACAACGACCAATTTAATTAACTTGCACCGACCCCGACTTAAACTGAAATTGACCCTTACCCGTCAAAACCAAAATTTAACCCAACTTGTTACTAACCTGGCCTGAATTCAGCCCGACCCATTCCTAACCCGACCCAAATTTAACCCAACATGTTACAAACAATACCCGAAATCAACCTGACTTGTTATTGACCTGACCCAAATTCAACCCGACTTGTTATTGACCCGATCCGAATTTTACCAGACCTATTACTTACCCGACCCAAAAATTCAACCCGATTTGTTACTAACCTGACTCAAAATTAACACGACTTGTTATTGACTAAACATAAATTCAACCCAAATTGTTCCTGACCCGATTTCAAATCATCTTAAATGCAATTTAGACCACCTTATTGTTGTTGATCAAAGTATTTTGTCTAAAGTGACCAAGTCGTTCCAGGCCAACAAAAGAAAGGAGCATCACCCTCAAGTTTAAGAGTTAAATATAGTATATATATTTGTTGTGTGGCCAAAGGAGATATTTATCTTCCTAAACTATAGACAATAGCTCCCTAGTATATTGCCATATATATTATAGTCAAATGAAATAATTAGCTTGATAAGAATGATAATTATCTATTTATAGTTCGTTGAACCCGAATATGAACTGATTTGGAATGAAATGACCCGACCTGATTGTAACCTGCAAATTATTGACTTGAACATAACCTGACTTGAATCCGAGAATGATCCGACTTGGAAATGACCCAACCTGATTATAACCCGCAAATTATTTACTTGAACTGAACCCAACTTGAACCCAAGAATGACCCGGCTTGAAAATGATTCGACCCGATTATAATCCGCAAATTATTGACTTGAACCGAACCTGACTCAAACCCGAGAATAACCCGACCTGATTCTACCCCGCAAATTATTGACTTGAACCGAACCCAACTCGAACCCGAGAATTACCTTAACCTTTTTTAATCCGAGAAAACCCGAATTAAACCTGACCTATTTTTCACCCTACCCGAATGTAACCTGACCTAAACCCGATAAGAAGTATGACCCGACGTGACCCGACTAAAGCATGACCCAACCCAAACCCAAACCCCATAGGTTATGGAATTAATCCGAATTGACCCGACCCGAGTTGACCCGACCCACTCTTACCGGACCCAAACCCGACCCGTTCACTCGAATTGACAGCTCTAACTAGGGGTGAGCATGGGACAGGTACACGTACTAACGGTTCGGGTACCCGATAACCAAAATCCCTAAAAGTGATATCCATAACTCGAACCGATAAGTTCGGGTACCCGTATTTTCGGATCGGTTATGTGGTACCCAATAAGATATCCAATAATGATAATAAAACTTCGTTATGTAGTTAATATAATATAATTTACTAGTAATTAACAACAATATCATATGATTTTGACCAAATTATTAATAATATTACTAATAATTGATATTATAAAGTAATTATGATGTAAATTAAGATTTTAGATTTTAAAAAAAATAGATTTAAGTAGGGAAAAATAGCAAAAAAATGTTTATTGAATCGGATCGGGTAACCGTTAATTTTAAAATGATACCCAATAACCATACTCGATAACAAATTATCAGAACGGGAACCCGAACCGTTATGGTTATCGGATCGGATATCCTAATTTTTGAAATGATTTCGGATCAGTTTTTCGGGTGGTTTTGCTCAGCTCTAGATTGGACAAGAGAATAAAAAAAAAGTTTATGAATAGGTTTATTTACTAGTTTTGTGCCCCGTGCGATGCTCGGGTTGTTTTTTAAATTTTGAGATAAATTTTAAATCTACATTCAAATTTCCAAAAATATATCTCTGATACAAAATTACTTAGGAATTGATATACTTTTGTAACGATTTAAACTGTATATATAGTAGGCAATTTAGGGATGTAAGTGACTTTTTTTTTCCATATCTCTCTCGATGATTTTTAAGCCCAAAGCAATAGTTGAAAATGGGCCCACAATTTTTCCAAGTGTAGGCCCGGCCCATGATCAAGTGTAGGATAATCATTTAACCAAATCGAGTTACATGCATTGAAAGTTGTATTAGTATTTTTCCTAAAGAGATGGCTTAAAAATAAACGGTTGCATTATTAAGGCATCACACTTATTCAAACAAGTGTAGCTTCCGTCGAATTTTCTCGCTCACTATATTCATGTTCCCAGTGACATGCCTCATTTTCAGCTCCATCAATGGTCATCACTGCACATTATGGATAATTGCACATTTGCACAAACGTACATTTTACAAGTCCACAATTCCACATTATGGATGAGCTACAAGGACGTTAATAAAGTATATAAATCGATCTTGGACTTCAACTATCATGTTAAGCTTTTGATTTAGTTGATTATTCAACATAACATTAAGAGCCAACGTGACAATCATGTGAAGTAGACAGACTCACAATTTCTACCACAGGCCGCCCAAACCCATCAGTCCAACACTTCATTGGTAGTGTGACATATTTTATAAAAGTGAAACAAATATTAAGACTTTGACAAGTTGTGAGGCAGGTACAATATAAACAAAAAAAAAAAAAAAAATTGTAACAATTGTGAAGTTGTGACTCTTGTGAGGCAGGTCCATCTAAGATCTAACAGACTAACAAATCTTATTAAATGT